GCACCCCCGGCACCTACAACTATTGCATCATAAGTATGATCCACCACAGTGTATGAGGAGTTGCCCCCAGTCTGCAAGAGCAAAAGCAGGCACATTCAGCAAAATGCAACTCTGTCAAGAAACAAGGCGAATTCTGCTTCTGCCTAAATCAATCAACGTTGGATGAGAATTCCAAAATCCAGCCAGTTACAAGCTAAGCTTTGGAGTAAAGTCCATAAAGACCAGAACGGAAAATGATCAAAAACGCGTCCAGGACAAGTTGCTCAGACATTCAAATAAGGATAGTACAAAAGCAAAAGTTATGAAGGAGAAGCGGAGGAAAGACGGGTACAAAAATCCAAGAAAATAAAATCCAATAAATTTAACAACACCAAAAACCTAAGATTGGTACGTTATCAATGATCGAGGAAGAAAGAGATCGTACAGAGAAAAATCTCGAAATGTGAGACCGAAGAGAGTCATTGGGAATGGATCTCTTGGAAGCTGGTACGCGAAGACCACGAGCAACGCACCGCCACATTTCCTTAACACTGTCGCTCCACAAGCCCGAGCTGGCTTTCTGAGTCTTTTTGTACGTGTGCCTACCTCGAGACGCTCTTGTCCTGACTCTTCTGTCTCGCCGCGGCTTATTGTTGCCGCTCTTTTATAACTACCTCAGTTGATGCCTGACGAATTACTTAGACCGATGGTGGATGGGACTGGCCAAACCGAACAATTAACGATGTAACGGAGGCTGTTAAGAGAGTTGATACATTTATAAAGATAGTATGCCTAAAAACTGAAAGGGATGCATAATCTTGCTTCATATATAATATGTTTTCTACGTTAAAAACGAAAAATGTTTCTTTATTAGAATCGGACAGGTAAAATCGTTACTGGCAGTGGATGGTGCCCGAAACTCCGGCGTGTGTTGCAGATTCCTCTTCAAATAATGAGTGGTTGAAAAAACTTGTAAGATGATTCGAAACACATCAATATTTTTGTTTTGCCTATGGTTATTAATTGAAATCTGAAGCAATTTTGTTGCTCTTTTGATGTTCACCAACATCATTGGATCTGACTGTTGTGCCTAAAAAAAGGTGTGATATAATCATATATTAATTTCATTTGCATTGCAGAATGAATTTTATATTTAGGATTGGAGGTAATATTATTTTTAAGTCCTACTTATTAATCATTAATTATTATTATTATAAAAATACTGTAATCCAAAATAAAATCATAGCTATACCCGGGGGGGGGGGGATTTGTCTGCGCGGTCCGCGGGGAAGCCAGAAAGGAGGAATAGAGTTTGAGAGACGTGAGCGTCGAAAGAGAGTTTTGGATTGGAAGCCGGTACACGTAAAAGAACAAAAGAAGAACACGTGGCAACGCTGGAGTGAATTGAGAGCTGGGAAAGTGAAGAGGCCCTTGGTGCTCTCTCGGCCACGTCATATCCGACGGAGACGCCCCTCCCCTGGCCACGTTGCCTTCAACTCGACCGCAAGCATCCAAAGTCAGACACCCCTCCCCTCCCCAACATCTTTTCTCCAAGACCGACGCCCTAAGATATTTATCCCGTTATTGAATTTCAGAATATTATTACATTTTTCAGGTTCAAAAATTATGTACGCTTTTTAATGTTTTAATTACTATTCATAATGTTAAAATTTTTAAAAGCAACACTGGTTTAAAAAGTTAATGATATCTTATGTCCTGAATGGGAAATGACTCTCAGTAGGAGGGAGTTCGGGACTGAATTGTTTATGGGCCAATCATGAAGATACTGATTAAGAGGCAGCAACACTTCAGGTCTTAAATGTTGGGCCGAAGAATAAAAGTCTCAAGCTCAAGCCCATAAAAGGAGATGCTGGGTCATATTAAAAAAAATAGAACAAACATTTAGTAGTGCCAAAATTAAAAAATAGGTTTTTATGCCGACTACAAATATATAGATGTATATATATTCAGAATAATACATATTATATATTTCTCCAATCTTTAATATAAGACCTAGTTATTGAGTTGATTTTGCATCACTTTTTTTCCTGAATTATCCATGTCGATACTCTTTTGATCATAATCAAGTAATAAAGAAAAAGAAGATATTAAGAAAAATAATTATGATGTTTTTTAGAAAAAAAATATGTCATATTTTTTTACAATTAACTAATTTAATTAGTATTCTTAATCAATTCGAATTAGTTAATTAGGAGACCAGAGGCATATTATTGACATTTTTTAATGTTATGGAGACTTATTTCACCATGGATTCATACAACTCATTCGTCGTCTTAAACAAATCATTTGTAGAAGCAACCTTTGAGCTTGAACTTTCTGGCTTCGCGTGTTTATGTTACCATAATTAGGCTCTCATGATTTATGCGGCTTCATCTTCAGATTGAACAAGTAGCTGTGGCATATCACTTTATTTTTGTGATGATCATATTGATTTGTTTGGCTTGTTCAAGGTGACGATTTAACATCTAAATTAACGAAGTACCACACATATATCTGGACACGTAATCTGATGAATAGCTTGACGAACAATATCGTAGATTCCTGGTTGTTAATAAATAAACTAGGCATATGTTCGCGATATATACTAGGAGCTCAGCGAGTGCGTGAATGATTAAATTAAAGTAGCATGTTCCTTTTCTTGCAGGGCATATTTGTCCCAAGACACGGGGTAAAAACAAAGCCTTTTATGGCTTGAAGAAAGAAAATAATAGTAAGATGCAACAAATCATACACAAAAAGATAAACCAGTCAAGATATCGTAAACATATACGCCCTAGCACCAAAGGCGCCTGTACAGATTTGAAGTTTACAACAGCGTGGAATTTAAACATATTGGCTTTGCCGATCCCGGCTTATGCATGGAAGGACTATTTATACTCTCTCTCTCTCACGTGCATAATGATATACATATATATATATATATATATATATATATGCATATGTATATATTGGCTTTGCAGGTCCTCCCTTCTGTCTGCCTCGCGCAGGAAAAGGTCCTCTAATACCTCATTTTTTATGGTCTTTTGAAATGCATCAACTTCCCAAATTTTTTTTTTTGGTTATTAGATTCTACATGAAATAAGTGACATTTTGATATCTTATGAATAAAAATAGTATATTTTTTATATTTCCTTGTGATTTTGTAAAATAAAACACTCTAAAATTGTGCATTTTCATTTAAAAAATCATTAAAAAAACTGCACTATTTCTTGCTCATAAAATGTCAAAATATTACTTATTTTATATAAAATTTAATAGCAAAAAAAAAAAACACACAATCTGGGAGGTTGAGGGCATTAGAGGCCCTTGTCCACTTGTGCGCCAGGCCTACAATCCACAGAGATATATGGTTATATATTAAGAGAATGTTTAGGTAAAAATCACTTTTTAGAAAGTTTTTTTTTTTTTTAATGAACAAACACCCCACCTAAGGCAAACACGAACGCTAAATCAAAGATAGACGTGACTGCGATGGGTAAACCTTTAGGAAAATTGTAAATATCACAAAATTAAATTTATAAACAGGGGTCGTGGTCAAGGGGTCGGTCATGTGTTGGAAACGCTCTTCATCCCTTATTCCCAGAGACATTTAGTAATTCCTTGCTACTATAACAATATGGAAAACACACCCGTTCGCAAATGCAAAGATCGATTCAAAGAGATGGGTTCAAATACGCTTCCATATTACTAGAAACTGATGTAGGATTTGATCTTTGGGATTTTGATTCTAATATGTTCCATGTTAAAACTAGCCACGGGAAGAGTTCCTTTGATCTGGGCCCTTCTTAATGCGTGTGTTAGTATGTGCCTCTCCCCTCTTTAAAGTGCACCTTACCCTAATCTTACCAAGCCGAACAATTTTGGACGGCTCAACACTGCAATGCAACTTAAAGATGTTCAGTAGTAAATTATTAAACTCGTTATATGCATAAATGAGCGTGCTACTTTTCTTGCAGGCCATGTATAAGGATGAAAATAGGCCAGGCGGTCTGTCAGGAACCTGTGACCTGGCTTGTAAATGGCCTAACCTATTTAGATATCAAAACAAGCTTTGGCCTATAAAAAAGCTTGTTTACTTTATCAAGCCAGGCTTAGACCTAATAATAAGCTTGTTAGGCTTATCAGGCAGCCTGGGCCTGTTATCTTTTTTTTTTAAGATTAAAATTCTAAATAGACAGGTATTGAAATTTAACCAATTGCCCACTACCTTACCCTCGGTCAACAAGGTGGCTCCTTCTTATCTACCTATAGTTGTTATTTTAACCGAAATTAAAAACTATCAGTGCTCAGGGAGCATGAATACGTAGGGGGATATATATGATTGATCAAAGTGCTATTAATTATGCATATATATTGATATATAGTAATTGTACTTATTAATTACCTGAGGACCAAAAGGGTCTCTAACTACCCAAGCTTTTGCCTTTTACACCATTTTTTAATTTGTTTTTCATATCAGCTTTTTAATTTGTTTTTCATTTCTCAAGCAATAAGTATGGTTTGAAGAGGAAAGCAAATGTATAAATTTTGAATTCTAAAAATAATACCATTTCTTGCATTTATTAGTTATTAAATTTTGTTATGATCTTAACTAATACATATTTGTATTTATTAGTTATTAGCAAAAATAAATTGTATTACTTTGATAATTTCATATTTTCTGTTTGTATTTCAAATAAATTGGGTTGAATTATTGTAATTTTGAATTGATTTATGTGTGTTTGAAATTTGTTAAAAAAAACAAACCCCTTAACAAGCCACAGACTAGGCTTGATTATAGGCCAGGCTCAGGCCTAATAAAAGACCTTTCACAGGCCAAGGCCAGGTTTAGGCCAACAGGTCTCACCACAGGCTGGTCCTATTAAGAGTGAGGCTTGACCTGACCTGTTTCTACCCTTAGCCATGCATAGCTATTCCGAGATATGGGATAAATTCAAAACCGTTTTGCGGTCGGAAGAAATTAGGAAATAATAAGATATAATAAATCATGCACAACGAAAGATGAACCAATCAAGATATCATATATATTTACACGCGCACCCCAAAGGCGCATATACAGATCTAAAGTTTACAACAGTGTGGAATAAACTAAACTTCAACATATTGGCTTGCAGGTCCAGGCTTATGCATGGCAGGAATATTTATACTTTATATTCACACACACATACATATAATGAAGTGGTCTGATCTAATGAGTATGTTTCGTAATTTCTTTTTTTGGTTTTTTCAGTTTGTCTCCTTCTGGCAGACTTGTGCTCTAGCTAGGCCACATAGTCCATAGAGATATATGGGTATATATTAAAGGAAACACAAACACGATCAAATCAAAGATAGACGTTGGACCGTGATGGGTAAGCCTTTAGGAAAATCAACGAAAGGGTACACAAAAGCTTGATCTTGTTCAGCCAACTGCCATTCACAGTTGAGGATGAGATGGTGGATGAAAATCGCTATTTCTAGCTTCGCCAACTCTGATCCCGCGCAGTATCTCCCCCCTCCTCCAAACGGCATGAAGTTATTGCTCGTGCCTGTGCTGCCTCCACGACTCCCATTGTTCTGCGCAGTATCAATTATCAAATCAATAAATGAAGAGAGAGAGAGAGACTAGGGCCTGAGGAAAAAAAATCCAGAAATCTATATACTACCTCGGTTCTTAATATAAAATGTCATTTGATTTTTATTTTCGTTCTAAATATAAGATCTCAATCCACTTTATTTTTCATACTTATTCATTTTTTTTTAAGATAGTTCTTCTAATAATAATAGTTTTAACCAATAAACTTGATTAGCATAGATATTTTAAGAAAGACAATACCTATTTATTACAAATAACTAATTTAATTTATTTTCTTAATTTACTCAAATTAGTCAACTAACTCTTATATTTAGTACCGAAGGTAGTATCACCGAACGAGTATGGCTATTAATCATACGTAAGCAAGAAGAAGCAGAACTCATATGAGAAAGAGAGACTCAAAGGCCAATATCAAACAACCCGAGTCGTCTAAGGGCATATTGATAATGTTAGATTTGGTTTTAGAAGGTTGCTGACTTATGATGCCAGTATATCTGTCTGAGGTTCCTATCACCGTCTTCGTTATGGTTGGGTCCCTTTGCCCTTGGCTATCTATGAACTCTCAAACTGATCTCTTTGAATTTTTTTTCCCAGGTAAACATATGAGAATGGGCATAAGAAATTAAATCTGGTTTGGACCAGACAGGAGATAAAAGCACAGATGCAGGTGCAAGAGGGGAAGCCCACTTCCACATGGGCATTGATAGTATATAGGAAGAGAAACTGGCTAATTAGGCCCTGACCACACGTTCCAACGGAGCAAATATGATATGATCATCGTCTTCACGGCATCAGGTGGGGGACGCCAGCTCTTTGCTCCCTCATCGATCATGACACTTCATGCCCACAAAATATCCTTGGACACTTACCCAGACGTGCGGCTTCAGCTGATTTGACCACTGTTACTGGTTGGGTCCATTGATCAGTCCTCCATCGTAAGCCACAACCTTATTAATCTGTCTCCACGGTCTCACGCCCGATGTAAAAGCCATAATCGTCTTTGACGAGTTAGGATGATAGCATTTATGGATGAAAACACAATGTCGTTTAATTTGAAATAATTTACGCTGCTTTTTCTTTTCTTTCTTTATGTTACTCTACTCACCATTACTTCATTGCTTCAACATTTTCTTGATATGGGTAAGGGGTTGGAAGAGGAAAACGACAAGTGTACTGACACTAATTAATCATGAATATAGCTAGAGCCGTGATGAAAATGTCTTGCTTCCGAATGAGGATGATATGAGTAAAAGTCAACATTAATGAATGTTGAGTTGATGGAGGACTCTTTCAGCTTGTCAAAGCCGTACATTTATGCTGTACCTGGGTGTGGTCTGAAACGCCAGACTGAAAATCCTACTGTGTCCTAGAATGGAAGATGACGAGGGCTGGGATTGCGTGTAACACTAAACGACAATTTTAGCGAAATCCACAGCCTGTGAGGCTGTGGTACGCTGCGGGGACCCGCACACACCAATAGAATGAAGGAGAAGTTACTCCACATACATGTGTCAATGCATGCATTACGAACTAGAAACGATTTAAATTTCATTCATGCATGGAGCGCTGTACCTTTAATTAGATTCCTTAATACCACCTTTTATTCTGGTTATAAAAACAGTTAACTAATTTAAAGAGATTAAAAAAATAATTTGAACTAGTTATTTGTCCTAAATAGGTGTTGTCTTTCTAAAATATCCTTACTAATCAAGTGTATTGACTAGAACTATTATTGTTAGAAGGGCTATTTTAAAAAAAATGTATAAATATGAAAGACAAAATGGATAAGGATATTATATTTAGAATCAAAATAAAAATTAAATAAAGTCTTATATTAAGAATTGAAGATAGTATATGGTTGTAAGGAATGGGGTTTAGAAAAGTGAAAAGGGAGTATGATAAATATTATAAATCAGGCATACGGAGTGAGATTAATCGTAATAAGAACTCACTTGCCATCTCCATGGATCGAAGAGTTGAGGGTGGTCAAAATTTGAAGGATCAAGATGCACGGCGGCGAGAACCGGAAGGACTTTCCAACCACGTGGAATGTCATAGCCTTTCAAACATGAACAAACATTTTCAATATACATACCGAAAGGAATTTATACTATAATTTTTCTTCGACTCCAACAAACTGGTCCTTCTCTATTCTTTCTCTATGAAAGAAAATTTTCATTTTTTAAAGTCCTACCTTTGTACCGTATATCCTTGATAGCCTTCCTGTGAAGAAATCTCACCACGTTTCCCAGCCGAAGTGTTTCGTTGACGACCTTCAGGATACGAAGAGGAGCTTATCTTAATGGAGTGCGAATCGTACAATTATTAAATGAAAGGAAATCAGTCGAAAAGAAAAATTCCCATTTTTTTCTGTCATCTTTTGTGTCTTACCCAGTGAGTAAACTCCATCCGCCTGTAGTCATCCCAAGTCAATTCCACATCACCCGCTTCTCTTTTGGCTCTGGCAATTTCTCTGTGTTCTTCCTATTATTTCCCCGGAAAAAGAAAAGAGAATTCAGTAAAAATTTAGATTTTCATATACCGCACACGTGACATCGTCGTGCCTGCTTACCCTTAGCTGCTGGACAGCTCTAGGACAAGCCGGTAAAAAGTAAAGTGCCAGAGATATGGCTACGGATGAAGTTTCATGCCCAGCAAAAAGCAAGCTTAGAATCAGGTCAAGAACTTGTTCTGATGTCAGATTTGAATTCTTTAAAACCCAGCTTAGAAGGTCATCGTCCAAGCCTTTATCACCCCCTTTGATGTTTTGGTTTCTTTCTTCCATTTTCCTCTCTATGAACTTCAGTATGGTGAACCTAGACTGTAAAATTATGACACACACAATATCAAAAGCTAATATTTAACGGATACTGAACGGGGTTCATTAAATAGTTATGGATTATAACCTGTAAAGCCTTCCGGTATGCCGTTCCAGGTAAGTTCAGAGGCGCCGAAACCACCCCTTTCATGAAAGTGGCGTACGCTTTCTTCAACGCCTCTGCCTCAGGAGTTTCAGGTTCGAGGCTCAAGATATTCTTCACCATCAAGTTGAAGGTGAACTGCAATTTCGAAAGAAAGCATAAGAACTTATTACCGTTTCACCAGAAATCACAAAATCCACCAGCCTGAAATTTTGTTTACCTTCTTCGCTTCTTCTTGAGCGGAAAATTTAAAATCCTGCTTCCACGAGTTAAGAACAAGCAGGGCGTGCCTCTCCACGTCTTTCAGCATCGTTGTTCTGAGCATGGCATTGCTCATAAAGTTGAGCGCTATAGCTCTCATGTCTCTATGCATGTCGCCGACGACGACCAACATGGACCATTTTCCTAGTATTCCGCCAATGCTTTTTGGGTAGCTACATTCAAACAATTTTCCTTCGTTGTTAAATATGAACTTATTCAGCTCTGCATCTGCTGAAACAATCGCTGGCTCCCCAAACAATGACGACTTGAAGATTTTACCATACCTACAGAACAAGACACACTTTCTGAGTCGTTTCTATGAAAAAGAAGATTGAATTTGCTTTTGGTGTACCTTGCAATATGCTGTTCCATGAATTCTCCTATGGTCGTAGCAGGGTGTGGCCTCAAGTACCCAATAGTTTGCCCAACAAGAGGCCATCCCATTTGGCCGGGGGGGAGATTAAGCTTGGGTTGCTTTCTTCTGAAGAGAAGGATAATGGGGAGGGCTAGAATGAGAGAAAGAAGCCATAGATTGAGGTATGAATCAGACATGAGCGTCTTTTTGATTTGTCTGATTCTGTCGTTCTGATTTATAATACTAGTATATAGGTAGAAAGTGAAACAGAAAGACGTTTTTGCAGCTTCCTATAAATTGAGAAAAGCCTTAATCTTATGCTTCCGACAAAGAGTTTCCATTTTCTGGTTGTAACAAAATGCCTAAATCAAGTGATTTCAATGAAACTGTAAAGTCGATAGGCTGCTTTTATAAGCTTCTCCCGTGTCTTTAAGCGATAACAGCGGAAAGTGGCAACAAAATCGGCTTTACACTTGGGAGCATTACATTAAGGCATGATTATGAGAAAAGATATATTCAGAAACCAATCAGCAGACTCAATGTTCTTTGTGAATGATTATAAATAATTAGGTTGCGTGGCCTAAAAATATTCAGTTAATTAATTATTATAGATACCCTCGTCTTTTTCCGCGCACCTTTTCTATCACTAACTTTTTTTTTTTTTTTTTTTGAAGTTCATGGTATATAAGCCTTTCCTAGAAATATTTTAAAAACAAAACCAAAAAAAAAAAATCCAACATATATATATATATATATATCAGGAGACAGTGGACACGCTGTACTGGGTTTCCTAGCATCAAGAGTCACACAGGACAAGATGTTTCTGAAGTGCTTCCATCTACAAAAATTTTATGTTTTCATTGTTTCGTTTTCAAGAATCTTTGCGGGCACAGCACCTGTGCTGACTGTAGAGACACCACCTTATTTCTATTTGAATGTATCGATACGTCTTTAATTATTCCAACACCACAGACGTGGTTTTGTCTCTATAGTCTTGTTCTTCTGGATATGAGTTAATTTCGATGTACTTAAATAGTTAGGGTTGTGTTATGCTTAATTACGTGAAGATGACATGCACGGGACTGCAGAATTGGAGGGGAGGTAGGAATAAGAAGGAAGAAGTAACAACCGCATGGACAAAGCTACTCGTGCGGGTGACCTACAATCACGGTCATACGCCAATGATTGTTGCCACTTGCCACAACGCTCTAATGAGAGTGTGCCGCATGGCGGGACGGCACGTGCGGACATGCGCCCTTTCATTCCTTCATCATTATATACTACACCTGCTCTTAAATATAAGAACTAGTTGACTAATTTAAAAAGATTAAAAAAATAAGTTAAGTTAGTTATCTGTAATAAATAGATATTGTATTTTCTAAACTATTCTTGTTAATCAAATGTATTAGCTAGAACTATCATTATTAAAAGAACTATCTAAAAAAATATATCAATAAAAGAGATAAGGTGGATTGGGGTCTTATATTTAAGATTAAAATAAAAATTAAATAAGATATTATATTAAAAACTAGAGGTGGTATATGTATTTCATTTTCCGTTCTTAATACTGTTGTCACTTTTAACAACAACAAAAATGTTAACTCAACAAATTTAAAAGAGAACTCTATGATTATTGGGAAATTTGGTTAAAAACCCTTATTTAAAAACTTAATTGATTAAAATGATTTAAATTTGAGCGAGTGTAACTATAAACCAAGATTGTGTGCAACTTTTCTTTCATTATGTGTAATATATCTTTTGCTGTGTGTAAATAATTTTTGTTATATATTATTGATGATATGTTACACACAACAACAAAAAAAGTTATACTCAAGTTATAATTGTAGTGTTTAATTTTAGATCCTTTTAATCAATTAAATTTTTAAATGGAGATGTTTAACCAAATTTCTCAAGATTAAATGATTAGATTAAATCTTAATTTGTACTGTAGTGATGAAAGGGAAGGAGGGGGGCTATAACCCTATACCATAGCGTGACCACTTTAATAAAAGTGCTCCCCCCCCCCCCCAACTCCACAAAAGCCCCGTCGCCGTCCTCTCCTTCTGTGGTGAATTAATTGTCGGGTTATCGTACAAAGTACCACCCCACGGTCCTAGCTAGTTGTACTGTCAAAATCACTCCTGACATTCAGCCTGCCTGCGTTTTGATGACTTCGAACTGTGTGAAGCCTACAAACCGGATAACATAATGAAGGCAATCCCCAGGCTGCTGCTCCCCACCATATACCAACTGCTTTCTGCTCTCAATGTATATATACTGCAAATGCAATTGGTGGATGAACTGATTAACGCCAGTGTGATTTTAATTGACATCAACTTAAAAGGTCAAACCACTAACATGGTTTTTTTTTTTGACTCCTCTCTACTGTACTGTCACATATCTACTCAAAAGAAGATAATTAGGAAGACAGAAGTAAAGTGGTGGTTCATGGGGGACCTCGACGTTTATCGTGGCCTTCCGGGGGGCTACCCAAGCCTCAGTCTTTGACCCCTCTCACCCACATTCTCTCTGTGTTTCTCCATAACCTTGTTACTATTGCAACAACGTCTTTAAGCACTACTTTATTGTGCTATTTACACCCAACCATCGATTTCTTATATCACTAAAAGCATATAAAGAGACTAGAAGGAGAGAGAACATACTTCAGGTAAAAGGCATAAATAGAATTCAATAATTTAACGGTCCAGCGCGACACCAAACTTCGTTTATATGAGATTATGGGTTTGAATTTGTTTGCACTCAAATTGTTTCAACCTGCCTTTTGTACTTTAGGAAAAATAAAGCACATTATAACACATGCCATATTCATCAATTATCAAATACTCCTCCCTCCCAAGCATAGAAAGCAATACTTCTCCGGTCCTAAATATAAGACTTTTATAAGGGTACTTTATTTGTATCGGTCTTTGTGGTCTGAATCATGAAGGCCGCGTAGTTCTGCTGCATGCAAAAGCTAGTTGAGGTATGGAGTAGCTGCTAGCTGGGATAGATCCTCAACAACAGGTGGCCTCATTATACCTTCATGATTCAAATTGGATATGTCGTTACTCTATTGACTTTCAGTATTTCAAAATACTCGATCCTCACAGCGCGCACAGAGAGAGAGAGATGAAACCAAAGCTAAATTAGTGTTAAAGGGCTCATTTACTTTTGCTTTCGGCCAAGCCTCCTTGTAGTCCCCACCAACAAGCTAAGGTCATGCTTCAATTGAATAAATTATAGCATGCTTTGGATTATTGCAACCCCCCCTCCCCAAAAGATAATAATGAATACCCAAGTTCCTGCAAACACAACGCCATTAATCAAACTCAATGGAAGCTCTTTGTTTTTCCCCCCCTCAACAAGGCCACAGATTGAAACCGTGAGGTTACAAACAGATTACACAAAGTTCGAGCCTCAAATATTTTAACACCCAAATGGTGGATCATCAAAGTTTCGATAACAAACTGTTATGATCCGTTTGATGAGAGAGCCAGTCAATGGAATAATTTGTTTTTCTCGGAGAACATGGTCAGTGGAGACCTTCCAATCACGCATAAGGAGATTTTTGATCCTTTTGCTTCCATATGGGATGTATAACTTCATTAGAGCCGCGGTAGAATTCCAAAATATTCAGCAGCAGTGTTCTCTGATGATGGCTTAGATATTTTGTGAAGCCCTTTAACCAAAGAGACGAATCAGCCCACGGCAACTAAACCCAGCTAGCTCCAGCACTGTAACTTCGCATAATAAAAGTGCTTTGCTTTAATATGTGTTTCCTCCTTCTTGAGTAGTTCGACTCTCACTATCTTAAAGAAAGCAAATTTCACATGCATACATGTCACCGAAATGCATAAACTAGGATATATAAGGCGATTTATATATGCTCTTTTATATAGACCTAACCTGAATATTGAATGATTTCGAATATATTCTCATCCATCACGTCACGTGATTTAAGGAAGTTCCTTCTCTGAACTTACAATCCGACTAGGAATAGATATTGTGTGTGTGTGTGAAACAAATTATCTCTCTATAGCTTTAGGTTGCTGCCTTCAAGTTAAAGAAGGCGCAAAAAGTGAAACTTCAAAGAATTCTTAAGGATTTGTTATCCAAGTCCCCTGACTCTGAAGTAGAGTATATTAATAATTTAGCTTTCAATAAATGGTACTCCTCCGGTCTTTATTATAAGACCCAATTTGACTTTTTATTTGGTCATAATTATAAGACCCAATCCATTTTCTCTCTTATATTTATGCATTTTTTTCCAAGATAATCCTTCTAATAATGATAGTTTTAGCCAATATACTTAATTAGCAAGGATATTTTAGGAATAACAACACTTATTTATTATAAATAACCAACTTAACTTACTTCCTTAATCTCCTCAAATAAGTCAATTGGGTCTTATAATTAGGACCGGAGGAGTATATCAATTTAGTCTTTCAAAGATAATTCTCTAAATTTAGTCATCGAAGATTATACACTGCTCCCAATCAAAATGATCCTTAATTAGCCACAAAAAATATACCCCTCAAGTCTTTAATATAGGATTTAATTGTTGAGTTGATTTTGATCCTAAATATAATACCCATTTCTCATATTTATCAATTTTTTTTAAATTATCCCCATGGATATCCCCTCAATCATAATCTAGTGAAAGAGAGGGGAGGGTATTAAGGAAGATGATTATGGTATTTTAGGAAAAACATATCATATTTATTTTAATTAACTAATTTACCTAAATTCTTTAATTTAATCAGATTAATTAAATAGGTCTTATACTAAGAACTGAAGGTGTACTATTTTGATTCTAAAAGAAATAAATAACGGGAAAATCCATTGAGATTTTTTTCTCGAGTATCGAAATGAATAAAGATGATAAAAATTATAGAGACCAAATTTAATATTTTATTTTCGAAAAGCAAATGAAAAATACGATTCTTATAATATATTGATTTTCACACCCCGAGTTATGGCTTTTCAGTTCTACTACAATGAACCATGGTATAAAGTGAGGATGTGATGAGGTGCTTTCAGCTGCCCAACCCACTTATTAACGAAAGAGAAGCAGCATTTCATAAATTGGACCACCATTTAAATAATTATAGATTGTTCAGGTGGGATGGCAAGACACAATAATGAGAACCAATCAGTCCATCAAAGTCCAAACAAAAGAATATGATAAAAAGCAGGCATCAGTTTGTGCCTTTGTGGTGATGTTATTCACATTATTGTACCCCTGAACGGTAGAAGAGTTAGATGAGGTTTTGAGCTTGTGATTCACAGCCTAAGTTATGAAACGTAGAAGAATCATTATCATTCTTACTTCAGAGTTTTGAGAGGCAACACACAGATAGATGACAGATCTTTGGGCATTCATCTTCTTTTTGCAAGCGCAGCCATATTTCTTTCACTCTTGCTTATCGTGCTTCGTAACAAAATGGACACATACGTGCCGTTTAACAGGATGTCTCCCTAGTTTAAAATTCTCATTTTGATGTTTTGCTATGCTATGTACACCTATCGTTACCCAAGGAATCTGGACCTTAATGTTCCTTTCTAGTCTTTAATTTTTGTTTGAACATGAAGAAAAATAGAAAAGAGAGAACATTGGGGGGGAAAAACTTTTAAATGAAGGGTTAGTCTTTACAACAAAGTATAACCACTCTTCAAATCCTAAGGTCCCCTCTGTTGAGCAGCATTGAAAATAAGTGGTAGGGGTTGAGATTGCAATTGAGAAATATCATTAAAAAAAATTTAATATGAGTGATTGCTTGTTATATGATATTAGACAAACCATGAAGGTAACATTAGAAATAAGTAATTTCTCATGCTAAATATTTTTTTTCAATTTCAATTCTAAATTTTATTTCTTATTTTTAATACTTCGTACCAAACAAAATATAAGTGTTGCAGGAAAAAACCTCCCCCGGGGCCAGGCCTAGCAAACAACATTTGGTCGTCCACCACGATCAGCGACTATACATTCCACTTTGGGAACTGTTCACATCATCGACTATCTGACAACAAATTTAAACTTTTTCGATGACCTTGAACAATTTTGAAATAGAGCAAGCTGACATTTACATTTCACTAAAATAATGGTTATGAGAATGGCACGTCAAGTCAATTATTTAGGCTATAAATTAAGACGTCATATTCTTCTGTGGGGCAATCAACTGAGAAATTTTATATTCGTGAATTATAAACTATGCGTTCGCATATGATACAGCTACTGCTAGACCCTATCTTATTATGAGGTTGCCCAAGTTATTATCTTTACGTGAAAAAACAGAGCATGATAACGTCATTTTGTTCAACTATATTGGTTGTGAACGTCTCTTTCCCATGTTACTGATATTGATGTGTATAATGATTGACGAACTACAGAGTCCTGTGCTTTTCCAACGCGTGTGTATCGCACAGGAGGCAGTGTACATAATGATGGTATCGCCACAATGCTCAAATAGAGCATGGCAATATTTTCCTTGTCGGTGTTCTTATAACCCTGCATAGAAAGAAACTAGCGGTCACCGTGGCATGATTAGGGAAAAAAATTGTAAGTTCATAACTTATAAATAACATGATTTGTTTTAGAAATTTTGTAAATATATAGGAACTGTAATTTTATATTGATATATGCTAGTATATGTGAATATACGTTAAGCACATGATAAACCATAAAGCCCAAAAACAGTAATCAGACACGACGAGACAGAAATATAAAATACACACGACATCAGAACAAAATTGTTAAAGAAAGCAGCAAACGGGTCACAAAATCACAATGGGTCAGATTAGGATGCAAAATAATAAGGCAAAATTACAACAAAATCCTAAAAAAAATAATTACCAGAAAATCTTAATAACAACTTAAATAACTTGTAATCACAAGTCTTAAAATAAAAAATTACAACATCTAAAACTTAATTTGTAATTTTTTCCCTTCAAATCTCATTGTAATTTTCCTAAATAAAAATCAAAAAGGGAATACTTGTATGTGAAATAAGCACAATTATTATCATTATTATTTTTAACGAGATCAAAAAGTAGGCGCAATCATTATCAATAATCAGATAACACCGATAGGAATCATAAAATTGTAATAAATCATACTGCCACGTCCCTATATATAACACATAGCTGCCAATATTAAGCACGCTAAGGAATTTGTTTGTGTCTGAATAGTTCATTCTTTCTAAATTAGCCCCCAACTAAACAGAAATATTTTTTTTAAAAAAATAATTAAATAGGGATTTTTTGTTTAAAAAAACAACTTAAGATCAACTCCGCATGTTAGCATTTGACTAGCCACCGACTCGCTGGAAGAATCATATGACCTAGACCCATAACTGCTTAAGATACAACTCTAATATAATACGAACTCCAGTTCTGTTAATAAAACCCTGTTTGTAGACTACAAATGAAGTTTTATAAATAAAAGTATAGGACTGAAAATAGTAACATAGTAGAAGTCGAACCACTTCTCGTTATTGAACAGGATGTTTTCAAGGGTACACGAACGTTAAAATAGCTAAATATAAGAGCACCATTCCTGAACTATAATAAATTCCATTTAGAAAATTTACAAAATGAAAGCCATTGGGTGGCTCTGAATGCGGAAAGTTCTTCAAAGCATCATTCCTTATCTAGCCCATTTCGAATACAAACAAAATGAAAGGGCTATTCGACAACTACGTATTTGTGAAATATCATTCATTGAGACTAACTCGAAAAGCAGTTGTGTTACTGCAAAAGGAAGTATTTTTCAAAAGTATCTCAGGCTATGCAAATAGATAAGAGAAATTAGCTGTTAAGAGTAGAAAGCATGCTCCCAGTTGGAATCACCACCTCCCATCCAGGCCCTTTAAGAGGAATTTTGCTCGGACAATTTAAGTTACCAGAGACAAGATCACTGCGATCCAAAAGCTTCTCTAAGTCTTCATCACTAATATCTGTTTGGATCGCTTTGTCTTCAGCAGATTCTTCCTCTTGAAGCAATGCCAACAATTCCTCATCCTTATATCAGATCATGTACAAATTCCATATTAAAACTTGGCAACAAAGCTGAGAAATTATCTTAATCCCAACCATTAATATAAATGAACCTATAGCCAGATTTTCCAATCCTAATGCCCTCTTCATGCTTCCAACTTTACTACTGGAAGAGATCCCATATCCATGCTTTATTATATTATTAGACCCTTTTCTCACTATTTATGCGCTAGTTATATGAATACAATGATAACGTGAGAAAATGAGGCTTGCCGAGTTGCCGGACTTTTTAAAGACTATTCAGTAAAATGCATGCCTACTAACAGTGTAAAAGTAGTATGCTTAAGCTTGAACCACAGAAGATCAGAGGAAAGCAAAATTGAGAAATTAATGGAAAAGAAACTGCTAATGGACAAACCTCTTTGTTATCCATTGAGTTGGGCTTCATCCGTTCTTGATGAAATTGCCCCTTTCCAATCACCACATGCTCAAGCTTCAACTTGCTGAAAGCCCTTTTCAACATGCGACCCTGTAAAGAGAGTTCATTATATACATAATTTTCAAGGAACATGCACTTGATATCCTGATAGGCAAACATAAATCACATCACCAAACCACAATACAAGGTAGCCATGTACCTCCACGGAGTGAGCTGTAGCAAGCCTGTAAACATGAACAGGTTTAGTTTGACCTATTCTGTGACATCTATCCATGGCCTGTAAATCAATCTGAGGATTCTGGAGCATGATGAACTTATGTAAGCAAATGTACCATCAAAGATGTAAAATGAAATAAAGCATACAGTAAAATTCCAAAAAAAAAGGGTACCCAATCACTGTCATAAATGATACAAGTATCAGCTGCAGTAAGGTTGATTCCCAATCCCCCAGCCCTAGTACTGAGAAGAAAGATCCTGTAATTGCTATTCACATCATTGAACTCCTGAATCTGTAATGAGCAGGTGAAAAAAATCAATGAGCCAGAGAGGCATATATACGGCTAACATGAACTCAATATAATGCAACCACTGATAACATAACATAATTTTAATCCCTGATCAGAACCAATGTTTTTCAGAACAGATGCTAATCTCAGTAGTATATTGCAAGCAAGATTCTCGTCCCTAATTAAACCGATATTTTGCATGAACAAAAAGCTTGAATTGGACAAAAAACCAATGAATTAGCTGCAGTTCCAATATATTTTCTCTTTTAAATTGACTCGCCAATAAACTGGTCAGAAACTCCTGTTCTCTGTTTGTCTAAATCAAAATATTTAGCACTTGATAGCAGAAATTTATGGTATTTAATAGACTCTACTCAATCTGTGTAAGTATAGGTAATTATATCCATTTCAATATTATTTTACACTACATGTATTATTGTAAAATATTACACTTTATACATTTTAAAAAAAAATGTTTCAACTGCAGTTCAACTGTGATCAAAGCATAGCATCGTAAATAACTTCTTATTGCATATGAATAAGTGATCTGAATTTCAAAACATTACTCTCAAGGAACAAGTTGTTTGATGTTCCAATCCTGTCTGATGCTTACAATGCGCAAAGACAAGGAAAAACCCATTCAAGAAATTACAAAGAATTGAATGCAGCAAACAACTAGAAGATCAAACTAAACACTCCTTGGTAACAAAGGTGTCAAGGAAACTAATGCAATATAGTAGAAACTAGATTATATCATACAGCATAACCTGTCTTTTCCTCTCATCTAGCTTTACACTGCCATCAATTCTGCAGACTTCAAGGCCCCTTTCACTAAAATAGTAATCCATTATATCCAAAATTTTAGTCCACTGGCTGAAGATTAGAACCTGCAGCAAAGGCAATTACCAGTAAATAACAACTCTCCAACAAAAGAGGTGCACCGATGTAAATAGGATACTTTAAAACATACTTTGTGCTTCCGTGCAAATAAACGAGCCAACAGACGGTCTAGTAAACGGAATTTCCCACATTGTTCAACTATCTCATCGACAGGTGGATAGAGAACTATCAAGATAGCAAGAATACAACGTGGTCATCATAAAGCATCAATTCATTTTTGAAAAAAACAATTTAATTTTTAAGGTACATACACGAATCATCGAAGGCTGACTCTAAGAGGTCAGGATGATTACAGTTCTTTCTAAGCTGAATGACCAGATTACGAAGATTTTTGGAAGCACGTCCTGCAATAGAGCAACATAATACAAAATTGAGCTGGGGCACAGGAAAATTCTATGAAGACATCTCTTATTTCTTGATTGAAATCATGAAAGAAAATCTCACCCACTGCAGATTTTTCACGAAAATATTTCTCCAATGTCTTATTAATTAAATGTTCCTGAAAATTCTTCTGATGTTCAGTCATACTGGCATATATAATTATCTCTTTCTTTCGTGGTAACATCTGCTCAACATCACTCTTCATCCTTCGGAGAAGAAAGGGGCGCAAGATGGCATGGAGCTTAGCTACCACCTACATGCGATAAAAACCTTGAGCCTTCTGGTTCAAATATGCAAAGGATAAATTATACAGAAGCTGTCTTATTAATGCATGCCTGAGCTCTTCTTCCTTCTTCTAGTTCTTCTTTTGTTGCTCCATTACTGCACTTTCCTGACAGATTAAACCTACAAAGAAACTTGGTTAGATTAAGAAAGTAAATTCAAGGTTAACATGTGATGTTTCTGGCTGCAATTGAATGAATTTGACACCAATACTGTCAAATGGAAATACGCAATCATCTATACAGCTGAAAAATACAACAGTCGTACGCAAAAATGGAGGAGAAGCAAACCAGGCCCTGCATAATAAGATTTGATAAAACCACTTTTCAATGGAGAAATGTAAAAAAGGAAGCACCACAGGATTTACAAGAAAGACATCAAAAGGGCCAATAAAATTACATAAAAACCAACATAACATTTGTTCAAAACTTCCAGAGAAGGAGTAAATTAACTGGCAAATTCTATTTCAAAATAGGTGCCCATTGGAAAACCGGTCAAACTACCATTAAATGCTATAAAATTGATCCAAATCGCTTGCCTTCAATACTCAAGATATTTATTAATTATTATGCAGCTAAAAATACCCAAAAAGATTACACAACGGCAAAGTCATATACTATCAACAGTCACATTTGAAGACGCAACTCGCAGAAACTTGAGGAGACAAGCAAAACATGAAACGAACTTGGAATGACAAATAAGCAAAGAAAACTAACCATGACTCAAATTCTTCAAGGGATGAGAAAATGTCAGGTAAAATGAAGTTCAACAATGACCATAGCTCAGCCAGGTTATTCTGAAGAGGTGTCCCAGTTAAAAGAAGTTTATTTTCAACGGGCAAGAATTTCAACATCTGGACTAATTTGCATTTGGAGTTTTTGAGCCTGTGTCCCTTCATTAAAAGAAAATTACAGTTAGAATAACATAACCAAATACATTTGAAATATCAAATGAATTTTTGCTGATAGCATGCAACTAAAAAGAAAATCTCCAATCAATCACTCTCAAGTGAACATTTTACCTCGTCAATTACAACATATTTCCAATGGTAGAACCTGAGATATTTCTTAGCATCATTTAACGCAACTTCATAGGAAGTGATGACTATGGGAAATTTTGGGCCAATCGTTCTAGGCATATGCTTCCTTCGAATCTCATCTCTGTCCTTCTTGTCACCATGGTAAATAATTGCAGTGAGTGTTGGAGCAAACCTATATTCATGTATTGAAAACATAAGGTTCTACTACAAAACCATGACAACATATAATAGCATGGAAAACAAATTCTGTAGAACATTTACCGAGAAATTTCACTCATCCAATTAGAAAGGGTTGATAGAGGAGCAATTATCAAATATGGGCCATCCAAACCCTTCCCTTTCAGATGTGCAAGGAAACCGATAGTTTGGATTGTCTTCCCAAGACCCATTTGATCAGCCAAAATCCCATTCAGTCCATTTTGCCACAAGGAGATCAACCATTTGACACCCTTCATTTGATATTGCTTCAACTTTCCACCTGTCAACAGAGGTATGAGCTCTTTCTGTTCCTTATCAATTCTTTCCTCTTCCGTCAGGTTCATATCTTCAGCACTCTCACTTTCTTTAGATCTTGTAAGCATGGCAGCTACTGCCCTTTTGGCTTTCTTCTGAAATAATTTCAAACAATATAACATAATTAATTGCAACAACATCAAACTGGGTGCAAAAATCATAAAGGAGTGCAAAATAATCAACAAAGTTATATGGGAAGCAAAAGGCAATAATTGGTGCTTCTCACATCCGCTTCCTGTAGAAGCGTATCAGCATGACACTATTTAATTTCCCGGACACATTAAGTTAAAGGAATGAAAAAAAGTGAATATATGCAGTAACACTTCGAACTCACATTATTGTATTCTGATTTTGCTCTTCTTTTTGAGCCACGGCCCCTCTTTTTCTCAACCGGTTCCTCCTCTTGTTGGCCCTCTTGTTCACCGCCATTCTGGTAATCGAAATTCAAATATAAGATTCTGCAACAAGAAGAAATAAATTGGAATGCACAAAAAGTTAACACAATAAAAGCACAAGGAAATACAAGTGTGATGTCATCCATTTTCTCCAGCAAAAATTCCGAGTAAAGTTGGGTTTGCGTTAAAAGCTCATCCAACTTGCTAAATTGACTTTCATTAAGCTTTGGTGCCTCGTCTGGCTCATGTTTGGATTCCTCCTTCTCTTCCTTGATTCGAGTTTCCAAAAGCTGTTTTTCCTCTTCTTCCATTGACCTTGATATAAAAGAAGGCTCGTCATTCTTAACATCTACTTCCTCTGTCTCCATCTTCACATTTGAAAGGACCAGGAAAAATAGAAATACAACCCCCATAAGCAGTTCGTCGGAAAAACAGAAACACTAGCAACAGAAAAGTTCTGATAAATTCGGCGTTCCATTTCAGATTTACTGCCGAGTCTCCTGGTGGGAAGAAAGATAGTACTTACGAGAAACAAATACTTCCCAAGCAAGTATTTACTCCTGAGAAAGAACAAGGAGAACTATATACGAAACTATACCTCAGTCTTTTCTACCAAAGTCGGTGACTTTGTATCTCCATTGCTCTTCACTCCGTTCTCCATTCTGAGCCCTAAATCAAAGAAACAACACAAGATGTCTACAGAAAATCAGAAGAGCCAGGAAGAAAAATGACGTCAGAGGACACACGCCTTGATCGTTCAACATCAGGAGTGCTAGAGGTAACATTTGCATTGGCAAAATACCTAACAGAGGAATAATGGAGCAGCAGCAAGAGAAAAAAGAAGGAAGCAGAACGTGCGATTCGAACAGAACGGGTTTTCCTTTTAATCGCAGAGAAATGGAAGCCCTACGGGCCACGGGGAAGCCAGAAAAGATGGAATTGGACGACCGAAGCTGAAGAACAGCACTGAGAGGTGAAGGAAGCCAGCAGCAAGACCCGAAAAGGCGCTTTTAATGGGCGGGAAAGGCTATTTGACAAATTGCCCTCGTACTGGCGCCTTATTTACAGGGAAAACCAGACATATTGACAGCCAAGCTCGCTTTCTTCGGCCAACAGGTAGGGTCATTTATGGACAGTTGATTCCATTTTATTTGGACTTCCAGACAAGATTTAGACTAGAACATATTTTCAGGCTAAGCAAAATTAAAAAGGGAGTGGGAGACAAAGAAAGATCGGATATGTTTTGAAAATTTTGATTTTATTTTGCAGGGTGGTTAACTCCACGGAGCAATAAATTAATACGCAGCGCAATGGTTTAATAAAAAAAGTAGTTAATTAATTTAGATAGATTAAAAAAATTTATTAAATTTATTATTTTTTTATAATACTCTTACTACTCATGTATGTTGATTAAAACTACTTCTAATGAAATATTTAACATGTATAATTACTAAAATAACTATTTTGAAAAATATATAAATATAAGAGACAAAATGAATTGGGTTTTGTATTTAGAACCAAATTAAAAGTTAAACTAACTCTTATATTAAGGATGAAAGGCAGTATTATATACTACCTCCGATCGTTAATAGAAGATCCCATTTAACTTTTATTTTGATTCTAAATATAAGATCTCAGTCCACTTCTTTCATATTTATCTATTTTTTTCTAAGGTAATCCTTCTAATAATAGTAGTTCTAACCAATATACTTTATTAGTAAGAATATTTTAAAAAAGACAATATATGTTTATTATAAATAACTAATTTAACTAATTTAACTAATTTTTTTAATCTATTTAAATTAGTCAACTAGCTCTTATATTAAAAATAGTGGTAGTATTTTTCACAAGATTTACTTTATATTACCTTCAATTTTATTTATAAGATCTCGTTTGTAGATTATAAATAAGGTCTTATAATTTAAACACGTTTGGCCAGAATTTATATCGTCCCCAAACACAGCGTTGCCTCGTGGTTCGTTTCATCCCATCCGGAAACATCTGTCCTCCATTGAACACCGATCAAAGCGCTTTTTTAAAGTGCCAGGACAAGATGATGGGCACCAAAAGCAAAACGGAACTGCTAGAAAGTGAATAAAATAATAAAGAATTGCCTTTTCGAATTAATAAAAAAAACATTAGATTAAATTATTATTCTCGCGCGAGAAGATATCAAATTATTATTTGATTAACAGTTGTTGGCAAAAAAAAAAAATTATACTCATCCGGACCGTTATATATTTAGAACTGGATGAGTAATATTGTTAATTGCCAATTTGTTGGGAAACTAGTAATTCATTAGACACCGATTAAAATTACCTGGAAATGAACACGATTTCAATTGGCCCATAAACAAATCAACAACAATACTGTTGCGTAATGTCAAAACGATGTCAGTTAAAATTTTTGCAGTATATTTTTACCTACATCTTTTACGAAGATTATCAACATGCCACCTACATTTAATATAAAAGTAAATAACTAATTTATGAATATTAAAAATTAAATTAATTATTTATAATAAATAAATATTGTTTTTTAATGTAGTTACATCAAAACTATTTTGAATAAAAACTCCCTTTGATTATTATAAAGATTATTTATTAGAAGAAAAATAAAAATATATTAAAAATAAAATAAATTGAGACATTATATTTAAGATTAAATTAAATTTTCAATTAGTTTTTTATGTCGAGGAGTCTAAGCAGTAAATACCAATATTATTTGGTAAGGCACTTTCCATGCAATAAAATAACAAGCTAAGTGACCAAGTGCAGTAAGGTCTAAATATTCACTAAGACACATCATTGGACTTCACGTGGTCATCACTTCATTGACGCGTCAGCCCATGCAAGCTGGAGGCTTTATCACCCAGAAAACATGCCTTCTGTTTACATGGAAAAAATATGCACAGGTCTCGGAACAGGTCAGGGGTGTTCAAGGCCGGTCCGCCCCGGTCGGCCCGTTCTGATCCCGATCTTATTGGGACGGGATGGATTCCATCCTAAAATTTTTCGGGACGGGACAAAAAAGGAACCGGGACGGGGTCGTCCCGTCCCGGTCCTTTTTTTTTTTATCCTATTTATATAATATCATTTGTTTCATATTTTTTTAAGATTTGAGACTATTGTATGGAACTATGGATTATTTATTTAGAGTTTTTATATTTGTTAATGATTTGAGATTATTGATGATTAGAATTTTTAGCAAGTTTTTATCGTGTTAAAAGCTTTTGTTTAGAGTTTTTAATGACTATTATATGTAATATTTTGATATTTTGTTTAAGAGTGCCCAAACAAATAAAAAAGAAAATAAAAAATGTTTTTATAAGATTTAAGCTCAAAAAAATATAATTAAAAAAATCAGATTTTTAAAAAAATTTAAAAAAATTTCGGGACGTCCCGGATCCGTCCCGTCCCAACCGAGACCGGGACAACCTCGGGACGGGCTGGGAAATGGGACAGAAAATCTATCCCATTACTGTTTACCGGAACGGAACAGGGACGGGCCTGTCCCGGTCCCGATCCGTCCCGTGAACAGCCCTACAGGTTAATGTAATTTCCAAAGGACCATCGGATAATGTAATAGGATGGCAACCTCCAAACAGCGGTTGGGTTAAGGTTAACGTGGATGCTGCTGTTGCTCAGTCAACTATGAAAGCAGGATGTGGTGGAGCAATCAGAGACACGTCCGGCTCCTGGATTGTGGGGTTCTCTCATTTCACAGGGGACTACAATGTTAAAGAGGCTGAGGAGTGGGCAATCTTGAAGGGGTTAACTCTGGCATGGGAATTTGGTTTTAGGAAAGCTATTTTAGAATCAGATTCGAAAGTTACTATTGATGCGTTACAACGGGTGGCAATGCTGTCTTCATGCAACTCGGTGTTCATGCAATCTCGGTCCTTCATGAAATATTCATGGGATCTAGTCTTCATATACCCCGAAGGTCGAATATATATGCTCGCTGACTCGCTGGCAAAAGATCGTCTTTGTTCAGCACGTGTCCTACTCATTTGAGGAGAATTTCCGAAAACGATTTGCTGGGATCTAATCCCCCGAGTATTTAGTTTACTTTTTGGGCTTTTGTCCTCTTGTATAGGGAAAAAAAAAAAAGCCTTCTGTTCTTGTAAAAATGAGTCTAATATTTAATTCAGTTTTAAATGTAATATTTTAATTTTGTCTTTTAATTTTTTTTTTAAAAGAGTCCGTATAATACTTGTATACGTTAAATGTTCTATTACATAATAGTTTCAACTAATACATATTATTAGTAAGAGTATTACGAGGAAGATAACACCTATTTATTACAAATGATTAATTTAATAAATTTTTTTAATCTATTTAAATTAGTTAACTAGTTGTTATAATAGTATTGTTTAATTCTCACTTATACAGTGGTCATTATGACTCCACAATCCATTCATTACCAGGTCTAAAATAACCATTTATTTATCTTTTTATTTGACATTTAATGAACAAAGCTCAAAAAGATTCTACAAAAGGAATGGAAACAAAACAAAAGCAAATTACATAAATATTGCAAAGCCTTTTGTTTGCTTGAAGAAGAAGACGGACAAATAGACGACCGTGTTACCACCATGTCTGGAAAGATTGTCATTCAGAGAAAAAAGCACGAGACGCCTAAGTATGATGACAGAGATTCTCAAACCCCATATACTCTTTGTTTTCCATCTTCTCAACCATGTTCTCTATTCCCACCCCACCTGTAATACATACACCCAGAAATGGACGTGAGCTAACGAGCATGTTTGAATTATATAAAAACTACACGAAGAAAGGTATTAAGGGGATTACAGAAAGTACCTAAACTTATTGCGCTGACAAAAATAGTGAGTGCAAGTATGAAGATGATTATGGAAGCTCTGCCCAGGATTGCAATGATCCTTCTCACCACATGCTGTCCGGTGAATGCAGCAATGGTCGCCACCAGAACAAAATATGAAGCTGCGGCAAAGAGCATTGATCCCCCATAATAATCAGTGAGTTTCCCAGCATTTGACGTTAGATGATAAAAAAAGAGACAAAAGCCCTGGCAATGAGTATTTATGATGGGTCATAGCAGAAAAATAGAAGATCTTGCACCAAAAAGTTTAAGCTTTCACTTCCAGTCGAAATAATATTTTAGTGTATGTGCTTCACTGCTAGTTTTTTCTCACTTTTTCATCAACCTGAATAGTAGGATAATTTTGGTTTTATCTACTTTTCCCTACCGTAGGGTACTGGGAAGCGATCCAGAAGGTAATACTGCACCACTGACATGGAGGATGAGAAAGCCATAGAAAAGGTTGATGTTGCACTTGCTACCTGCGACAGAAGAAACGTATGTTTGCCGTAATTTTCATTTGTTAATGTTCCTTTGGGAAACGTAAAGATCAGTCACTGCGCGGGAATAGTTGAACTAGTACCTGAGGAGGAATTCCCATTTCCAGAAAGAGTGGTCCTAAAATAAAACCACCTCCAAGACCAAGCAATCCGCCAACCATGCCAGCTATAATTCCACAAGAACAGTAGAGACAGATCTGATGAAACTTCCAAACCGTGATTTCTTTTCCCTTCGAAGCGATCACTCTTTTTCCTTTGTAAAGGCATATGGCCTCAAAAAGCGTCACAGATACAGCAATAGGCACCTAAAAGTTATCAACAAATATTGTCATTCCTTGGATATCAAATTCTGTTTAGTTAAGAATCCAAATTGCTTATTGCCTGATTTATTCCCCTATAGGGAATGTCCTAATGTATTGGTTGTTAGTTACCTGCAATGAATTAAGAATCCAGTACGCAACGGAACAATTTTCAGTGTATGTCTGCATGAGCAAAAAGATTATCAGTAAACTTAAGGGAAGAACGTAAATTTTGACTGAAGTACAGCAAATTAGAGGTTGAAACATCATTTCTCAAAGACGGCTTTGAAAGCTACCAGCATTTCGTGGGGGACTCGTGCATTAGAAAAAGTTGTTTAGGGTATTGATAACTTACCTTGACAATCTGAACAACGAGAAAGCCTACCCAAACGTACATAAGAAGTGCAACTTCTTTCCAATGTATGTTTTTAATTAAAGGGACCTAAACACAAATTGATAAAACTAGGTTAAAAAACAACTAACTGAAGTAGTGATGAAAAATGACTCGAAATGACGCTGGGAATTACCTCTTCATCTTGGGCGTCAGCGGGGCCAGCTGGTAGTGATTTATATTCCTCTGGAGAAGCATTTGCAATATTTGGCAGTAAGTAGAATGCTGCTTTAGAATTTGGATTCTTTGAAATACTTGATCAAAAGGATAGGGTTGATATAAGAATCAGGTTATATGGCCTACTTCTACATATGTGGGTCTCACAAGAGTGGGCCCATCGTTTTTCTTATTTCTTTCTAATTTTACGGTAAATCGTTCTGGAGAATCCTCTTCATGTTATTTTAATAGCATCATGTAAAAAGCAAAAATTTCCATGACTAGTTTTACCATAGCTAGATTCCTTGTATGCATTTTGATATGCAAAAGTCTTAGTCCTCTGTGGTGCTTGGTCTCACAATTACAGTCAACTTTTTTTTTTTTTTTAAGTTTTCATATACTATTATATGTATAAATATACATATATATATATATGGAAGCAGGTTTTTGAGGACTTGCCACCTGGTTTAGACTCTGACTCAATCATCTTGGCCGCTTCCTGAAAATCGAACAGCATCATTCTTATAATCAATAGAGGTCATATGAGACTCCATCAATAATTAAAGCTTTTGAGTAAGAAAAGTAGTCGTACCCTTTTCATCATTGATTCCTTTTTCCATGTATCTATGCCTTTAAATAAAGCTTTTGATGATGTACCTACAACCAATTATACTGATGCTGAGAATCAACTAATCTATATTTATATTGAATATCGTGAATACTCGAATACTAAATCATGAATGTTATACAGTTCAGATTTTAGATTATGCTAGCAGTGGAAATTTGACGAATACAATATCAAAGTAATAAAATCAGTTCTTCGGTTACTTGGGGAGGAATAAAAAGAAAAGAGAAAAAATAAGAGGGAGGGTGAGAAAAAATCCTATATATATATATATATTGTCTCGCTCTCTTATATACCGCACACGGTGCATTACTATATAAAAGTTTGAATTTGATTGAAAAGGACGAAGCAATAAGATGTGTGGAAAAAGAATAGGATAATACGCAATTTGGATTAACATACATAGGTTGGAACAAGATTAAGGAACACAAGGAGGGGGGGAGAGTACTTTACCTAAGAACAGGATAATAAGCAAAACTGTGACCATCCAGTCAGCAAACATGACATTAAATGCGACCCCAATGCTGATTCCAAGCATTAACATAGGTTGGAAGAGCAAGGCCAAGTCATAATCTATAAGTGGCATCTCCAATGTTGGGTGTCTGAGCCTCAGATTATAGTAAACAGTCGACCCAGCAGCGCCCATGATCATACCTGTCATTACAAAATGACACAAAAATATTCAAACCTCAGAAACTGGCATTCAGGTCGAGTTCTGTTAATATTATAATATCAACTCTGCATGCATAAACATTTTGATCATTCATACTAGCTAGAACTCCAAGAAATTAAAATCCCAGAGACTACTATATATACTAACACTTGGAAATTGCCGTGGAAGACTTAGGATCAAAACCAACGATCAAAGTGAGCATAGGGACGAAAATGCCTCCGCCTCCTACACCTCCAACGCTGCCTAAAGCTGCTCCGAAAAACCCAATGATTGATCCTACTACAATTTTCCAACCAAACTTCATCTCCTGCACAAAACAGCCAGCACAACGTACCTTTAGAGTTGATGGGAAAATCCATAAAAAATAAAGAAATGATAAGTAGTATGGTACAACGAGATGCCGAAAGCTCATGGCATGCAGATATTTTCTGAAGAACTCACAGGCCAAACTGGTTCATAGGAAGACTTATCATTCTGCCACATGAATTCAATCACTCTAGCTAGAACTCCACGTCCCTCATCTCTCTCAACGACAAGATTGTCAGATTTCTTGTCTTTGATAATTCTCTCAGCTAAAGTGACGTTACAGATCATGAACAAGCTGCACAATAGAAGCCATGTTGCTTTTGCTGCTGCTCTTGAACTTTTCCGGTTCACCTGTACAGCCATGGATATGAAGTTTAGAGTTTAGATTACAATGCCGAATGGCGAATATGATGCTTCTGGATCCCTTGAGTTTTTCTTTTCCGCTGCGAACTGGTTTATGCTTTTGCAAGCATTGCTGAGAATAGGAAACTGCGAAAAGTGAGAAGTGCACTTGAGTACTTCTGCCAGTGTGTGTCTTTATAATAATAAATTCACTCTTTCTGTCTTGTTTTCTCTGGCCCCAATGGATCACATTGTGTAATTTACAGAAGGTTTTTGTTTTTGGGTGGGGGCATACGGACCGTTTTGTGCATAAGGAAGATAATTTTATAATTAAAAAATTTATTTTGTATGGCTAAATGAAGAAAACTACTGTTAAATAATAAAATTACATATGTCCTATTTTGTGTGAGAGAAATAGATTATTTTTCTTTTAACATGTCAAGCTGGCCTTAACATTTTCTCATACAGAAATTGGATATGTTTCCTCAACATGAAAAATTTTTCTTTTAAATTTTCTTATAGTAATGAGTTTCATTAGTAAATGCTTGGCTTCAAAAGCTGACTGATCCGCTACATTTAATTTTTAATTAGAACATCTTTTATATCTCTGTCTTATGAAAAAATTTTAATTAAAAATATATAACAGAAATAAAATGCATATTTTAAAAATTAAAAAAATTATAAATTTTCCTGCGTCCGGGGCATCAATATACGCCGAGGGTTTTCCTTTGGGCATGAACATAATTACCAATATGTAGGTGTGACAATCTAAGAAAATCTAGAAAATAAGAGATTTATTTTTCTATGTTGATTCTCAGTTTCTCACTCATGTTAACTTGGTTAAGGGACAGATATATTTGGAGGAGAAGCAGCAATGCAGCTTGTCGTATTGAAGAGTGCTTGCTTGTTGAAGTTTCGCGGAAGCAGGGTCCTAATTTTGATTGGGTTCAACTCAGCCCTCGTTCGTCTCTACTGTTTTTATCACCATGGAGTGTGTTATTCGAGGGCTCTCTTTCAGAAGGCAAGTTCTCTTGTTTAAACAAGACAACCTATAATAACAGAGGCACCTCTGGGATCTAACACAGCAAACAAGCCAATGTATGTTCCAGGAAATTTCATAGAAGAATCATTAAGCATTGTTTTTCGACGCGATTAATGAATAGTGAGAAGCTTCAAACTCAAGCATTTATTCTCTCTCTAGGATAAATTAAGGGACATGCCATTCCGACGGTTGTAGAGAATTTTTGAACCGGTACATGGCGAAGCCATGAAATTTCTTGGCAATTTCCACTGATTTTGGATTTTCTTGTACTTTTTCATAAAGCCAACTAAAAAAGACACTGAACATGCACAGGGTTCTTCCTGATTTGGTAAGTTTGCTTGTTTTAAGGGACTACTGACACTAAAAGATTTCTCACCTGACAAAACAAAGAGCTTGCGGGTTTAACCCCGAAAATATCTCCTCTTATAGATTTATTTGGATAGCCTATGGTCTATCATTTTATAGCAGTTACACCGCATCATATTTACTGAATGTGGTATTGTTCAGTTTAATTCATTAATAGTTCAAATTTGGTTATATGGGGAGTAATAGTACCTCATATTTAAGCATGAAGGGTGACGTGCCTTGTGCTAGCTAGATAATTACTCCAAGTGGCGGTGAGGGGCATATTAATTTTGTATTGGATTCTTAGTGAAGTGTTTGAGTGAAAATCAGACTATAATTTTAAAAATAATTTTACAACATATAAAATAAGTATATGAAAAAGTTTTATTTCGACTTGACACTTTTAGGAGAAACTAAACACCTCCTCAGTCAAACTAACTTTCCAGTAAAACTCGCCATATACGAAAACAGATCAATCTACTTCCCCCACCCTTCTAAAAGTGGGTACTAATCAATATATACATGTATGCATCTACACGTATATAACAGTATTATCTTTGATTCACGAGTAAATTTTGTATGGTTATGAAAGACTTGCATCGGGTAGGATTGTAGCTGTGCCATCTAGCTTAGATATTTTAGTAGCCTCGGCACTTCCACTTTTTTATAAAAATTATCTTGAAAACCGTGACAAAATAATTACGAGTACAATCAACATCTTTTTACTGCTGATCAAACGAAGAATTATCTTCTTTTATCTTTTCGGGAATTTAGTCACAAAATCCATATCAGAATCGAGACGTGCTTCGTTCATCCCAGCCTAAACTAGGAATTATCTTGAAATGAAGAATGCTATTCCATTAATGAATTTGAATAAACGGGCAAAGAAGACATCAAATCTTCTTCGATTGCTTTATGGATCCCGTTTGATCCAATCACCTAAGAGATGCAATGAATCAACACATCAAAACAGCGGGCGCTACTTAAACAAAAACCGTAGTATCAAAGAATTCTACTCCTATATTCCATACACTGTATGTAACGGCACCTACATTTGTATAGCACCATCAAAATGCTCTCGTTTTGCGCCTTAACTTTTCGTATCATCTAATCATTTTTTGGGGGCAGAGCAAATACCCTACATTCAAAAGTTGGCTCATAAATATCCATCATGCGTCCTCATCTAAAGCTAGATGACAAGGATGAAATTGACACGAACCCTTGGGGGGTAATCTACAAGACAGCAATATCAGTTCTCTTGGATAGGCTAAACTCCCATTAAATCTAGTCAAGTGAAACGATAGCTGAAGAAGCCTTGCACCAAACCTTGTGCAATTATAGGGCAAATAATTTAAACGACTGAGCATTTCTGACCCTCCTCGCCCTCAGTTAGGACTTCGCACAGAATACCTATAATATGGACACTTTCTAACCGGCAGAATCGCTGAAATAATCGCATACACAAATCCAATGCTGGTCGTTCTATATGTAAACAACATTGATGTTTCACCAGTTTAACCAAACGGAGTTCCAAGCATTACCCACAACCCAACGACATGATGAAAATACAAGACTCAGACGATTGTTCACCACAAATACATTAAAACGATCTTCTGTTTCTTAAACGTCTGCAGAAAAGACATCAAAACCCCAAATTAGCACCAGCACCATCAGTTCAATCATATCCCCAAAAACACCAAAGATTGAGTAACAGAGAACTACTAAGCTACAGCAATAAAGCAATCAAACGCAGACATCATAAATCCAGAATCAACTATTTCATGGAGATGATAGCAGCAACTAAGTTCTCCTGTGGTGACTGGATCATTCCATACCTGAAGTCAATTTCAGACATGTCAATAATGAATACCAAGATTCACGTCAACAAATGATCATGACAGGAATGCTGAAATGCAAATCATTGGTCTTACCATTGAAGTACAGAGATAATATGCTTTCAGTACTAGTAATCATACTCTCGAGAACGAGACCTCTCTGATTGACTTCTCTCCCGGTCACGAGATTCAGATACTGTGTGTTCCTTGTGGTAGTCGTCCTCCAGCCTATCAGGGTCAGGATATTGATCATAATCGTCACCATCTCCACGATCATAATGCCCTCGCCCTTGATGATGCTCATAGTGGTCATACTCCTCAGCATCCCGCCCAGGGTCCGCATGCCTATGTCCATGCTCAGGTTGATTGTACCATGCATGATTATCCTCAGGTTCATAGTCTCGCCCCCTTTCACCATGTCGGTCCCTCTCATGTTTGGAATCAACACGATCATAATCAGACTCCCTGTCATGCGAGCGTCCACGTTCAAGATCTTCATAGTCCCTATCCCTTTCACGATGGCGGTCACGATCCCTCTCCCTATCACGATCACGTCCTCGCTCCCGATCACGACCACGATCTCTATCTCGGTCACGACCACGATCTCTTTCCCTTTCTCTGTCTCTAGTCCTATCCCGATCTCTGTGATGTCTATCCTCCCTATGATCCCGAGTACGGCTCCTATCATGAGAGCGTTCACGTGATCGTTCCCGTTCTCTATCCTTGTCCCTCCCTCTTTCACGAGATTTTTCTCTATCCCTAAAATCATCTCAGCTACCATTAGTCACAATGAATGCCCATGTTCATGATCGACATTATAAAAACTTCACAAATGATTATTCAAAGAGCCCAATGTTAAAACAACTACTGCAGGAGAACTTTAAATTGAGATGCTCCTTCCATTTTTCTTCACCTTTTGTTTCTTTTTCCTACAATGGCTGAGCACACCAATTACAACTTGATAAATTGAAAATGACAACTTACCGATCAACCTGTCGTTCCTCCCGCACTTTTGGTTCTTCAGAACGAGAAGGTCCTGATTGCAGTTGTTCCCTAGAAATAAAGGCACTTAGAAATACACTTCAAGAAAAAAAGAAAACATCAAGCACACTCTATATCCGACATTCAATAAGTTAACCAAGTGTGTTACCTAATGATGTAGAACACAATACCTATACATTTATTCAATTACCAGACAAGATTTCCAAACCCCATGGGCCATACATAACGGAAGATAATGACAATACAGTCTCCTTTTTCACTTATCCATTCAATTAGTTAAATTCAACAAGCGAGTACCCTGACAACAAAGACACAAAAATTTGCAATCAGTCTGCTTACCTCCCAGAATACCGCTGATTAACTTCTTCACCCCCTACTCTTGTAGTACCAAGCCCACCGCCTAGTCGGCGAGGCCTCCAATTAGGAACAGTCCTTCCACGTTCAACATCCACAAGCACCCTTCTACCCTCAATTTTCCTACCATCAGCTTGCTTATAAGCAGCTGCATAATGAACAAAAGATGAGCTTGAAAGGCTACACAAAATGAAGAGAAATCAATTTGCCATCAAATGGACCTTTCATGTCCCTTGTGTGAAGGTACTCAATGAATGCATAACCCTTGGGTTTATTTGTGCTTTTGTCAGTAACCAATCGAACCTATATGATAAAAAAAGAAAAGGAGAACACAATCAGAAGAGAAAATTCAGGTCACAAGGGGAAAAAAATAGAAGATACTTTCTCACTTCAGAATTAACTAAAACATTACCAAAAGAAAAAGACTAATAGTTTAATCCTAAATGGCACGGCAGGCAGGCACTATGCCTAATTAGCCGTGCTCACCTTTAAATCACACTGCTCCCATCGCGAGATGCATCACCACCAGCAATAGTTGCAGAAAAACTGATGTATATGGGGCCAATTAACCACTTGTTGACTAGACTCCCCTTACCAGGGATGTTTGATTTTTTAAAATGACGTAAAGGAAAATAACTATAAATAATATAAAATATACCATGACATCCTCTCAACTGCTGAATTGTTTTTGATAGCCTTTAGAGCCAAAGATAAGATTTAGCAACATCAGAAGCATGCTAACTAAGAATTTAAACAACAGAGGAGGAGATGGCAATACTCCCGACATATTTTACCCAGTGCAGGAAAAGAACAGAAGTTGTCAGTCTCCTTTTCTTGCTCGAAAACAAGGCCAAAAGGCACAATTTCGCATCACTGCTCTGTCCAACTAAAATATTCAGCTATGCCATGCAGGAAGAAGCGCTTGAAACTGAGTGGGTTTGGTGGAAGTTTAAGAATCGTTTACCATTTGTTGAAAAAGATTACCTCCCCCTTACCAGGGACGCTTGTTGAGAAGCTATCTTAATGCTAAAATAACCCCTAAACATACCCAAGCCCCAGGAAGACCTTTTTTATCATCAACAACTAATGATCTATAAATTATGCGTAACTTGAGTAAACAAATTATGTATTATAATAAGTAACTGGTTAACCAACACTAAAGTAGAAACTCCAAAGAAACCATACATAATAGCAACTAGGTTACTGCTAAACCTTGAGAACCACTCTAGTAGCAAGAAAATTATACTAAAGCATTTTTCTTTTCAACAACGTGAACAACAAGGCACTTCATCATGATGACTAAACCAAATATGATTATCACAGGAAAATCGAAAAAATAAATAAATAAATAAAGGAAGTCCACAGCCGGAAAAGCTTCATATAATATCAAAACACAAAACACACGTGTATTTACTTTTGCAAATAAAAACTGTTGATATGGGCATGACACACATCTAGGGTTCATAACTTCTAATGATGCCAAGAAGTAAATAAAAATTACGATGCCTAACATGTAGGAAACTCTTACCGAACTCCTTTGGCAATACTCAAAAATACCTACCCGTTTGATTGGACCATATGACTCAAACTCCCTTTTGATTCTGCTCTCAGTCGTCTCATAACTCTGGAAAGAGTTGGTAACAATCAGATATGACAATTGACAAGGAATACACTAAAAGGAAGTGCAGCATCAAGACCATAATGAAGGGCATAGCTTACAAGTCTGGCCACAAACAGGGTCTTGTAGGGATCTCCTGAAATATTTGGGTCATTATGTGGATCATCTGCAAGAAAGCAGATATAAGAAAAACACCCAAGGAATATACAGGCACAAAAACTAATAATTCGATATCAATGTAGGATTCATCACATTTTTCTAGCTCTTCAGCAGCCTTTGCTGCTCCCTTCTCTAATCTTAGCTTGTGTATCCTAGCTCTTCTTTGCATCTGCATTACACAAAAATAAATTAAAATCATATGCAGATCTAAAGAGTATACTCTGCTCTTATATTTGCTATCATGATATATTAACACAAATAAGTTCCAAATAATTGTTATATATTAGCTGTACTTAAAGAAAGACAGACAGCCAGTAAACTAGAACCGAGTCAGTTCATTGAACATTTTAAAAATTAAAAAATTAAAGTCTTTCTCACATATGTTGAATAATTTAACAACTGATAAAAACTTATGTAAGGCCATGCGTGATCATGGTTTGCTCAATTAAACTTCTAGAGCTGATAAAAAAAGTGTTCATAGAGTAGCTATACATAACACAACACTTCGTATCATCCCTAAAACTTAGAGAGAGAAAAAAAGTTTCCAGGGCAAGTCTATGAGGCAAAACAGTAGTTACTACAATATAAACAAACATAAAACATTTGCAGAGCTTTCCCCAATGTGAAGCATAAAATGTAGAATTCAGGAGTGCACATTATAGTCTGATAGTAAGTAACTAGATTGGAAGTAAAGAACTCAACAAAAAGTCCACAAAAACAGAAATGTCACAATAAATTAATGATAACATTTGTAGTTGTCATTAGTTTAGTATAGCAATCAAATCTTGGTGAAACAAAGATACAAATCAATGTAACCCAATAAAAGAGACAAATCATGAAGACACTCCAGAGAAGCAAAATTTTCACTCTATCACGTGATTCTAAAGGAAATTCAAAGCCTCACAATTGGGGAACTTGCTTACAAAATAATTAGCAACAAATTTACACAACCAGGAATATGTTGCATCAAACCTCAAGAGAAAGGATGTCAGATGCGGCATCCACACACAACACTGAAATCATATTTAGCATAAATATTGTACACGAGTACTTAATCTCAGAAGAAGCAAACATTACCGGAGTCTCAGCTTCCTGGACAGGAGGAGAATATTCGGGATCTCCAGGTTCAGCGAATTTACTCACAAATTGTGCCATCCCTGGGGTTATAAAGAACGTAGGCATATCAATAATCATTCTTTAAAGCCTAAAACTGACGCCAAACAGATAAGAAACAAATAGAAAATGATTAAATACCTGTTAATGGCGGACATTTCCTTTTTTCTGGAGGTGCTTTATACTCTAGCGGAGGCCGAGGCTCAAACAGCTTCAAAAGATTAGCCGTGAGACCAGTAGGATGACTCTGTCCGATCTGTGATGCAATCGAATAATACACAGAAAGATATCAAACCATCGGTAAACGTATTCAAAACCTAGCTGCATGATTAATGAAGCTGCTACCGGTTTTGAAACAAGCGAAGCGTATTTGTTTTATTATAGTACAAATAATCAACTAAAAGAAGTAAAAATTAATTCTACGCCCCGCAAGAGTAAATCCCATCAGTGTACAGGAGTAAATAGGAAGAACCCTCTTCCTTCACAAACCAACTTACTGAAAACGACAAGAAAAAATTTCAAGTCATTAAGAAATTGCAGTAGATCGACATATCACAACATTTGAGATGTTTAAGATCAAGGATTGTGAGAAAACAGTAGCGATAAACCCTAGAGTTGGCGATGGATTATTTCTTTTTCCGGAAAAGGAACGCCAAAGTATCTCAAAATAAACATAAGAATGATGATGAAAACAGACCAGCTTGAGTTGGAGGACGTTGGCACGGTTCTGAGCTTTGGTGCGAGCCTGCACGGCGGCGTTTTGGTTTCGCATGAAAGCATCATTGAAGTCTCCCATGGCGAATCGATCGCAGCCGAAGTTACGCTCAGATTGCAAGATAATCACGACACGAGAGGTGCAAATTGAGTGGGAAAGCTTAAAGATGGGATCCGATTTGAGGCCGTCAGGCGCAGATAGAAGGCAGTAGAAGGCTATAAGCCCTGACGCGGCAGCTTGAGGAGCTCTGACTCCCCTCTCCGAAGTATTTATAGTATATTAGGGAGTGTTTAAATAAAAAACAAACCATGGTTTCAGAACTGCTTTTACGGATTACAAAGTAAATATGTGGAGGAAGGAGGTTATCTCGTTTTGTAAAAAAGTGCTTCTGAAACCACGATTTTGAAGCATCCAAACAGAGCCTTAGATAGTGTTTGGATAAAAACCAAACCATGGTTTCAGAAGTGCTTTTACGGATTACGAAGTAAATATGTGGAGGAGGTTACCTCGTTTTGCGGAAAAGTGCTTCTGAAACCACGGTTTTGGAGCACCCAAACAGAGCCTTAATCCCGTCAAAATTACTTTCTGCCGCGGACTACATATTTAGCTCTTTTTTGCTTTTCCTTCTCCTTCCTTTTAATAATTTATCTCTTGGGATAATAAATGGGCCGTTTAACATGATCTGTGATTGTAGCCACAGTAAACATAAACCATATTACGCATATTTTTGCAACATGTTCTTCGTATTAGTCATCAGAATGTGATTTATTATACCACTATTAGATAAATCAAAATCGGACCTGTACATTATATGGGGCATTCTTCTAATCACAGTTAATTAATTGAATAACCTAAATTTGACTGAATTTCAATAAGAATATATTTGAGCATAAATGGAATGTCATTTTTATATTTAGGACAATTTTTTATCCATAAATTAATGCCAACTATGTAAAAAGACGAGATTATCAAACATAAATTGCATTTTATTTACAATTAATAAATAAACATATTCCTCTGTGTAAAGAGTGACATGAATCAGATTTAGGTCATTCAATGATAACAAACCATTCGCTGTGTGTAAAGAATGACAAGAATTCTGTTGATATTATATTGCTTTTAATATAGACTTAAAACTTGGTGACAAATCAATTTAATTTATGATTTATGTTCATTCATACTTTTTGAATATTTACTATTAGATTTTCTTTCTTTTTTTAATATTTTAATATAATTTAAACAAGCCTATTCACACAAACATGACGTCAAGTTTGGTGGTTGATAATGTTGATGGCCCTTTAGTGGTCAATGCTCAGAAGTTGTTCCTACTTCTTCCCGTTCTGACCAATTGACTAATTTAAAAAGATTAAAAAAACAGGTTGAATTAGTTATTTGTCATAAATAGGTGCTGTCTTTTCTAAAATATCCTTATTAATCAAGTGTATTAATTAAAACTATCATTGTTAGGAGGATTACTTTGGAAAAAAATGTATAAATATGAGAGACAAAGTGGATTGGGGTCTTATATTTAGGATCAAAATAAAAATCAAATAGAGTCTTATATTAAGGATTGGAGGTAGTATTATCTTTCTGATTATCACTTTCCCGTTCAAAGGGATTCAAAATTGCCCACTCGTCACTGTGAATGATGTCATTTCCAGGCTTCTCTACATAGAATGTAGCAAAAAAAAAAATTAAAGGAAAAAAAAGCCTCAATTTGCTTTATATGTGCAGAAGAGAGCTGCGACTTGCAAAGTTGAACCCCAGCGTATTAAAACAAGTGAATAGTCTGTCGATTGAAGAGGCAAGAGTTAAAGAAATCTGCACATCTCAAGACATTCAACCAGCGATGAGCGATGACCCATGAGCACCTTACCACACACCAAGCATCGCAGACTAATTAAAATCATGAGGGGGTATACCCGCATCCATCAAATCCTCCTCTGATGCATTCCCCTCCAAAGCTAATAGAATCTACACGTATCACCACCGTAATAAAATTTATGTCATCCAAACATTTTAATTTGAGACAGAAAGTAAGTAATTCACTAATTCTTGCTGAGGCAAATTATAATTAATTATTGTCAGTCAGGTTAAGGGTGGAATAAGTTGAGGCTGTGTGTACCTGTCTCATGGTTGGGCGTTTTTTGGGAGAATGACGAATGCTGGCCGCAGCGCAAGCAGCAATGCGAGCAACTTGTTGATTATCGTAGTTTCTTTCCAAAAATGCGTCCACTAACTCTCTGAAGTTTCCATCTTCCAACCCTCGATTCAGCAGTGGTCGAGCCTGTTCATAGTGTGTGTAATACACATTAATGAAATATTACCTCTAGTACTTAATACAAGACCTAGTTGACTAATTTGGAGAGATTAAGAAAATTAGTTAAGTTAGTTATTTGTAATAAATATTTATTGTTTTTTTTTCTAAAATATCTTTGTTAGTCAAGTGTATTGACTAAAACTGTCATTATTATAAGAACTATCTTAAAAAAAAAAGAATAAATATGAGAGACAAAATGGATTATAGTCTTATATTTAAGACCAAAATAAAAGTCAAACAAACTTTTATGTTAAAGACTAGAAATAGTAATTTCCGATACTTTAGTCAGCAAGGCATGTTTTATACTTCTGTATTGACTTTTAACTGTTGGATGAAAATCTCTAGTTTCTTTTTTTTTTTTTTCATATTGCTGATAATCTGGTTTTGTTCAACATGGTGTGGTAGTTTTGAGAATATTATTAACTAAGAGAATAATTTATGGAAATTTACAACTCTGCCTAATGAAAGTAAGAGTGTGAGGGTAGGGGGTTACCCAGTCCACCAAGGTATCATCCAAGGCATGTGAGAGATCCATAGGCCGCTTCCCAGTCAAAAGTTCTAATAGCATTACCCCAAACGAGAAAACATCAGATTTTTCTGTCAACTTTCCACTCGATGCATATTCTGGAGCTAAGTACCTGCTCCACGTTAAAATCAAAGCTCTTCAATTATGCACAACATCTCTTTGCTCGTTAGCCCTTCCCATGCAAATGTCTCAAAGTCATGATTTAAATTAGGATAGTCACCTCTACTCGGTAAAATTTAAAATTAAATTGAATAGATTGCGCATTGCTTACATAAATAGGAAGCAAATCATACTAATTACTGATCGGAAAAAGGAAAGAAAAGAAGAAGAAAAAGTAGTGTACGTGCTGGCTGAAGAACAAAATGAAAAATAATTAATTACCCTAGTGTTCCCATAACGCAAGTTGAAACGTGAGTGTTATTATCGGATACCACCTTAGCCAAACCAAAATCTGCCACCTGCAGATTAAAATGCAATATAGTTAGTCTTGCGGGATTAGCCTTAACAGCAACAACATAAACGCATTATAGTATTAATTCATTGTTCCTAGAAGAGTACTTTGGCCTCAAAGCTTTCGTCAATCAGGACATTAGCTGCTTTGATATTGCGATGGACTATTCGGGGATCACCTGATAGTGCGTAAGAACACAATAAAAGCAAGCAATCAAACAGAATTGATGAATACGATCCCAGAGAATGGAAGACCGATCATAATTTAGCAGACTTTTTTTGGGGGCAAAAGTATGTGTTCTTACAATCTTCGTGAAGGTAGGTAAGCCCTTTGGCAATTCCTATTGCAATCTGTATCCTACGAGACCAACTCATGGGAGGCACCCCTTTTCCTGCCACATACCACAGTTAAACATATGCTTTTTGGTAACAGTAAAAAATGGAACGGTAACAGACCAAAATTACCAAGTTACCATGAAGATGATGTTCCAGATTGTAATTAGGAACAAATTCGTAAACGAGCATTCTTTTTCCACCATAAACACAGAATCCGAGGAGCAACACGAGGTGGCGATGATGAACACGAGCGATGGCCTCGCTCTCAGATTTGAAGGCCTCAAGTCCATTTGGACCTCCTTCTTTGAGGGTTTTAACTGCAATAGACTTTCCATTTGGTAAAACACCTTTATGCACGTAACCAAGTCCTCCTTCTCCTATCAAGTTCTCTTTCGCAAATCCTTTCGTCGCTAATGCCAATTCATCGTACATGAATGTACCCTCGCTTGCCTCTTTTACCACTTTCAATTCATCGTATCCTTGTTCCGGACTTTTTGTCTCCCAGATTGCTGTGCACTGTTATAAGTCTGACCGCCTGTGCCCACATACATTAATGTTTCTATAACAATACATTAAAGAGATGCAAAACTCGAGAAGATAAATTGTGGTGAGACCTTGTGCAAGAGGAGGATCTTCGTAATTACGAGCCTTCTTTCTTTTCTTGCAAATTGCATACAAAGCAATGGCAATAATAACAAGCCCCACGATTCCCAACACTGTTCCGACTGCTTTTGACATTATGTATTGTCAGGGTTGTTGCGTTTTCGAGTTTCCCGCCGAAAGGTTATGACCAGAAAAACCTCAATGCCGGGAACTTCATCCTTCCCTCACCCGATCCTTGATCGGATCTCTTTGTTGGGAAATCCCAGGAATACGTCAATGCCAAATCAATAATATATGCTCTTTGTCGATTCAAATCGTGGGATGTTTCGAAGTTATTGAGAATATATCTATCTGTTAGGGCTTATGGGTGGATAGACATGTGGCAAAATGAAATAAAAGTGAATAGGTGTCGCATCATCACATTTGCTTGGCTCGAGTCAAATTTAGATTCTTGCCATTTTCCTGACTGGTTCTCAACGTGCAACCGTTAATTTTCATTTATAAGATCATCTAGGAAACTTTAATTTCTCACAAATTATCATTTACTCATTTAAATATTAAAATCGAGGCCTTCACCTTCGCAAAGTTTGATTACAGCATAAATTTTAGGGAAAATTAGGCAGAAGGACTAAAAAAATTAGTATTTATTAAGAGGGATCTTTAAAAATTGTAATTAATTTGAAAGACCGAAAATTAAAATAAAATTTTATAATTATCAAATTATCCCTTATCAAATCCTTACACTATCTTCAACGCCCTCCTATCTCAATTTAACGATTAGTTATCAAGTCTCTCTCTCTCTCTCTGTATCTCTTTTTGATGTGCCCAAAGTTTTTATCAATAGCAATTGTCTCTTTGTAAATCCAGAACAAAGAAGACAAATTAAAAAGAATCAACTAGCAAACTATTTATTGGATGGTTCGTATATTCTGAACATTATTTTCCTTTCTTTAATTTATTTGTACTGAATGTTTTCTTATTTTCTCGTGGCCTCTATCGTACTGTTTAATCTGTGAACTGTAAGCATTAGTAATATGCTTACACTATTTATATGTATATGTTTCACATCCAATTTTATTACAATATATATTGTATGCAAATCCGGATGAATACGGACTAACAATGATGATAAGATAGGTAGTTGATCTGCTCACGACATTTTGTACAATTATATATCCAGGTTCAAATTGAGTTTCATGGTGATGGAGACAATGTAGGAGATAAGGTCTTGGGTAGCTAAGTAGCTTCAATGATTCGCGTCACTCATAGGATATATGCTTTGCTAAAGTGAACTTTTAACTTTTTGATACTTTCTTTGTTGCTTGATTTACTTGATATTAACCATATATTTTTTAAACCTATAACCGTTGAGCATTAGTTTGGTGTCATAATATTTGGTTTAACTTTCCTTAGTAATGCAATAATATTGTTCAAATTTCCTTATTAAGTTAACGAGGAGTTGTAACTACTTAAATTTTAATTCGTTAGTATCCTGGTTTGCTAATATTTGATTAAAAACATCCAATATAAAGACTTTTTGGATGAACATAAAAGTATATATTTGTACCTTCATTCAATCACAACTATACATATATATGAACATAGTCATGCTACTTATACAAAGCTTCTTAAATGAATATAAATATATTTCTTTCTGTTAACCAAAATATGAAAATCAGGAAATACTATCGCTTCGTAACCTTAGCTTCACTAATAATTTTTCCAACCTCATCAGAATTAGGGGCAAAATCGCAGCCATGCAAGCTGAATTTTTCCAACCTTATCGGAATGAAAAGCTAGTAGATGTAGATATAAATGACTGAAAAATAGGACTCTATTTTTTTGTTAATTGTTGTATTCAATTTTAAATTTTAATGGATAAATTTATATTTCAATTGATAACTAATAGTCAAATATTGAGATGGGTGTTGGAGATTATAAATTCATATTTTAATTTTTAGTCCTTCAAATTAATTACAATTTTTAAGATCCCTCTTAATAAATACCAATTTGTTTAGGTCCTTCTCCTCAATTTTTCCTAAATTTTAAGGGAATAGTATTTATGTTTTAATCGGTCCATCAATCAGTCCGCGCCAGAATTCGCCCGTGCCTTAGTGGTTAGGAGTTAAAACTTTAGAAGTAACTTTACGCATTGTTCAGAACCACTACATTAAACCACTTCAAGAGAAAGTATGACCCAAAAGGGATTGGGGAAAAAAAGGGAAGCTGCAGAAACTGAGAAACAAAGAGAAAAAAGTTACAAAAAGAAAAAAAGAAAAAAAAAGAAAGCAAAAGGATTGTCTTGACTCTTGACTGCTAAACAAGCTATTGAAGAGAACGTCCAAGAAGCCCCACAGGGAGAATAAGGAATTTTTCTAATAGGGGATCAGAATGGTTTTCCTTGGAGATCTTGTCTCCAGGTTGCCAGAACGGAAAGGTTAGAACTAGAATCCATTATCAGAGTTGAGCTGAGACATTTCTGATCTCTCTGTACATCTGGTGATGGCTCACAGGTAGCAGGCTGTTGACATAAGGCAGAAACTTTCCTCCTTCATAGATGCTTCTTAAGTCCAAAGATTCAGCGCTGTTCTCTTTGACATCATAGACCACCAGATTCCAGCCGGCAAGAACTGCGAATCTGTCTCCACTTAAACAAGGCAAGGCACGGAAACATTCCTCCTCCTCTTCATCATCATCTTGATTCACCGAATTTCCAACAGGGAACGAAATTGCGTGCTTCAGACCCATACACATACCCCCATATACTTCGAGGAGGCATTCGTTATTATCCAGCTTATAAGGCATGACATAGCATAACTCCCCACGACACTCGGTTAAAACGCCTTCTGGTCCTCTGTTAGCGGGAAGCGGAAAAATGCTATACAGTTCATACCTCATATCGAACGCCAGAACTTCACCACAGTAAGTCTCCCAGCAGGCATATCCCTTTATGTATAATCCATCTCCACAAAAGTTCGTGCTGATCAGGTCAGAGCATACTGTGTCCACAACCCTCCAAGTCCTGGACCTTGATGAGAAAATCTCAAAGCGAACAACAGGTTCGTTGATCATAGGAATAGCACAAACGAGCTCATAACTTGCTGTGAAGTTTAAGAGTGATGGTTCATGGGCAAGCACCAAAACTGATTCAGGTCCATGGTATAGATTTGGCTCGGGAATTACATGCCATTGCCTGTTAGCAGGGTTGCAGATGTAGTAACTATTGTCCCCCGAAGTACCTCGGCAGCAAATCAAACCATTGCATGTAGCCCTTACAATAACATATTCGGGCAAGAAATTGAGAGAGGGGCAAGCAACGCCATAAGCGCTTGAATCCAAAGAGATGAAGACAGGAAAAGTGTCGGGGCACTGATAAAGAAAACCACATGTCTCCTGGAAGCAGTAACTTTGTCGGTAAAGAAAGAAAGGATTACTTATCCACTCTTTCCATGCCTTGCAGACAGCTTTGAACCTGCAAAGTGATTTTGCAGGAAGAAATGGAAGAACATGCTTCTTTACAACATCTTCAATGGTCAAGTCTTTCTTATGCTCTGGGTAAAAACTTTCATGTGTAGCTTGCCATGATGCCCTCTTACGTGGAGCTTCAGGAAACTGCAACACAAGTAACATTGTCATGAAAACATCAAGATGCCAACCTGATCACTGCTTAACAAACCATTGAAGATTGTAATAGAGATTGGTAAGCGTAAAATTATATCAGGTTCACTCCCCTTACGTCACTGGTTTTGTTTCAAATTTCCACGTCAACAAATTACAACTTTTGAGTTTACCAAAGTAAAAATGCTAGTTTTTCTTTTTTGGCCGGGGTGGGGGGCGGTGGGGAACCATTAGATGCTAGTTGGGTTTAGAAGCACCTTCTTGACTAAAGGTCATGAAGGGAGACGGGATTTAGTTATATAAAGGGGGTCAAGATTGAAAAGCTTATATAATACAAGATTTGAATATACAGTACAAAGCATGTTAGTAAAGGTTGAAAACTCAGGGGCCATGCCCCCGCCAATTCCACTGCCCCAACTAAAGGGTTGATTTGAAAAGTCATCTCACTTAGAAAATTGGAAGCGTGATGCAGAGTGTTTGTAGTTTCCTGTTGGTAATCATCACAACCACGTTTTGGTTTTGATGGTTTTCCTATTTAGTTTAATCCACGTATAATAAAGAGTCTATGGAAGACAAGTTCCCTGATTTAAATATTAATGATACTGATGTTTATAAGAAAGCTGAATTCAGGGATTTTTTTTTTGGGGGGGGGGGGGGAGTGTTTGCCTGACCACTACATGATATTGCCTTGGCAGCTTGGGACTTAATTAAACAGAAAAGCATTAATTTGAATGAAGAAGATAATATTTGCTTGAAGCCTTATAAAACAGGTGAGTACTCTCGATCGCCAATACTAGGATTGTTTGGCTAGATATTGGTCATAAGGTTACTTGATAGAAACTTATTTGGGGAAATCAGAACATTCCTAGATATAATTTCATCTAATGATTAGTATTGGGAAAAAAACTTGGTTGTGAGAAGTTTGTGACGCAGATGGGAAATCACTACTAATGTTTTTGTAGCATTTGTAAAGATATCTGGAAAGACGTTCTTAGGAGGTGCAGAATTTATAGAAGCCCTAGTTGTTGGACTAGAGAAATTAGTTGGTTCTACGAGACAGCAAATGGGAAGAATTTCGAAGCAAGGGCTAGAAGAGTAGCACCAGTTTCAAGATTACTTAGAACTGCATGAGCTTGGACTTGTTTTCAAAATAGAATTATTTCGCATCCCCCCTTTTATTTACTAGCATATTTCTGCAAACATACTGCCATTTAACAATATATATCATAAACGTCTACACTCCCAGAAATAAAGCAGCTTCAAACATACCTGATCAGATGCTAAACCGTACATCTCTGGAGTGTTCTGAGCAGAAAAATCTCCAGTATCAGATGCCAGGTAATCTTGGTTATCCATGAGCTCTGAATTATTATTGCTAAGGAAATACCAATAAACTCTGGTTAGAAGTTTATGAATTAAAAAAAAATATATGCCTTACTAGCAAAGAAGAAGTTTGAAGCACAAAACATTAGGTAAGGACAGAAATCATAGATCCATAAAAGGGATGAACAATAGAAATCGTACAAAGGTCATTTCTGCTCTCGTATGATACTATTCATTCTCGGGGGGGGGGGGGGGAAGGAAAGACGGGCCGGCACAAAAATGCAGATGGCTGAAGCAATTACAGCTATATCATTTATTCTAGTGGACGACGAACAATCCACTAGTTAGGAATCTGTACTTTATCAGAAAAAGGGAAATCCCCGCACTAGTATTTTTTATTCAACAATATAAATTATACCCCGTTTTACACTCAGGATCTTTTTACAGGTAATCAATACTGACGAGCAAACAATCTCATGAAAGCTAACCTTGTACATTCAACTATAATTACCTCAAAATTACCAAATAAGGTCTATGAGAATAATCATTATGAAAAAACAATAAGAATCATAAATAATCTACGCGCGACCACATTTTGACCCCCTTTGTCCTGCATAAGAAGACAGAGAGGAAGCAAAAAGGTAACAACTTTTGCCGCTACGAAATCCTCAGTGATGACTTCTGTTACATTTGTCGGTGAAACAATTCCACTATATTACTATCATATGCGTACGCACGTACATATTCATATATTGAACTCAATGTCAAACAAGCGCAGTAGCAAATGTCAAATTGAAAGCAGCCAAGCCAAACAAGAAGTAGTAAATGTTCATCAATGAAAAACCACCAATAACTAACTGAATACCACATTGTACTTCTTTGTCCTATAAGCCGAGGAACATATCAGAAAACAGAAACCAGTATGGTTCTTCCATATGGGGAGAAAAGGGGTGAATGTGGACCCAGGGCAGAGTGGAGAGCAGCATGTAATTTGTAAAAATCAATTTAAAATCATTCATTTTCATGTATCTTCAAACTTTCCCTTCGAACGAACAGAGCACTACAAAGAAAACGATTAAAGTTCGTGCTGATTACATAATTAACAAAAAGAGAACCCAATCCACAATCTGTCAACCAGAGAAGAAAACAAAGTGCGACGAAAATAAAGGTAAGCCCTCAAACTTCTATTATCATTTTTCAAAGACCACCTGTTACACGACCCAAGAAAAGAACGCAGGGAATCCAGAAGTGGGCAATTCAAATCGAGGAGTGGGATTGGAAATGTGCAAGAGGAGTCCTCATAATGATTAAATAAACCAGGAAGATAAGGTATAATGAACATTAAAGTAAACTCTACCTCTTTTCTTTTCAATTGCAAAAGGCTGGTTGCTAAAACGACAAAAAAAAAAAAAGGGAATCCATAAGCGGGCAATTGAGTAATGGGGTTCAAGAAAAGGTAACATGGATCGTCATAATGGCTCAATAAACTTATTTCCCGTACTATGAAATGAAATCATCCGCGAAGAAAATTCAATTCCATGTGTTCTTGAAAAACTTGGAGAATCCACAGCCCAGAAATATCCTATTTGCTTGCCTCCCAAAGCCCAAACTAATTCACAGATAGACAGATTTCTTTCCACAGGCAGACAAGAGCCGGAACGATCGAATTTTAAAGCTTAAAAAGCGCAGCAAGAAGACCTCAAAATGATATCATAATATAAGAATCAAGAGGCTTCAACAGAAATAGAAAGCACAGAGAGAGGGCCTCCCTAAGCAATATACCTTTATCGTCAGCGAAGAGGCAAGGATCCTTTCTTCACGGCAGTCACAGAGAGGGGGACGGTAGCCAGCGTGCTTTGCAAGTTTGTGAGAGTGTTGACTACTCTGTAAGTCCAAAGATCACAACGCGACGCCAACTGGGCTTTGCCGCAAAATCCTGCAACTATTTCTTTTTTGATATTATTATAAATCCGACACGTGGCCCAGTTACATAGGCTGAATGGATGCAAGCGTCTATGCGAAGTCGTCGCCACCATTAGCGAGAGAGAGAGATCAAACGTGACAAAAAAGAAAAATAATTCAATGCATAATCCTTCACAAGCGTAGAGCTTTTACCACATACGATCTAAAAATGTCGCGAAAAATCACAACATTAAAATATGGTCAATTAAGGTAGGGTTCGAGTCTTACCTTAATTGAGTCGTCCGAGCAAGAGAGTAACAGGAATTAATTGATGAACCCTAGTTGGATAGCTGATTTGGGAAAAGAAAATTCTCACCGAAAAATGAGAAACAGAACGTGCCTGCTCATTCGTAAATAATCAATCGCGATAGAATTATTAAGAATGAGAAGGTAAAACCGGTTGATTCATCCTTTTTTTTTTTTTTTGAGAATGCTCACAATTCTAGAAAATGAAGGTCGAGAATCAAACATAAAATTAAGTGATTTCCCTTCTTTTTTCCTGTCCTCACCCACTCGATTATTGCATTCCATATGTGACGTTGGGGAGAAATGCAACGAACAATTACCACGTGAACCCCCAATCACGAGACTAGTGAGATGCGACGGCGTTCCTTTAGTGCATTTTGTTGTTATCTGTATCGCTATTCGAGATAATAATGGCATAATAACTTGTATTCATGACACCGTTCGATAGGAACGAGGGAAGTGAATTTATTTTCTTCAATTCTCCTACACAATTTATTATGTCTTTAATTGTTATTTAATTCTCCCTCCCTTCTTATTCATCGGCTTCAAATTTTTTTAAAAAATCTATTTTATAAATTTTAATTTGTGTTTGTCTTAGTATTTACTCTATTATTTTTCCCAATGCTACTCTTAATTATTTTTTTCTTATCACATTTTCTTACAAATTCTCTTTTATCATTTTTCTCATTTATTATAAGGACATATTTAAAAATAAAATTATATTTTAATTTATTTATTACTTTTAACTAATTGTTATCTTTTTAATTTATTTATCGTTTTTAACTAATTGTTCGTTATCTGTAAATTAGTTATTTGAAATTTATAATAAAAATTTTTAGATGGGTCAAAATGTAGTTTTAGCTTTTAAATTTTATTTTCAATTCTATAAACGAAATTATTATAAGTCAAAATATTATTACCTCCGGTTCTAATTATAAGAGCCAGTTGACTAATTTAAAGAGATTAAGGAAGTAAGTTGAGTTAGTTATTTGTCCTAAATAGGTGTTGTTTTTTCTAAAATATCCTTACTAATCAAGTGTATTGACTAGAACTATCATTGTTAGAAGGGTTACTTTAGAAAAAAAATTATAAATATAAAAAACAAAGTGAATTGGGATCTTATATTTAGAATCAAAATAAAAATCAAATAGAATCTTATATTAGAAACCGGAGGTAGTATATTGCAACTGCATGATATGTTAAGGCGCTGATTTTTGTTTTTTTGATGTACTTGTTAAGGCGCTTATAGAGTACTAGTAAGATGATTGGGAAAATGACATTGAGGTCCCATGCAACACAAAATACTACAAAAAGGTCCCAGGAAATTTGGTAATGATTCTGAAGTCCCAAAGGGACTTCAGTGCAATTTGATGAATTACAAAATGACGCCTCTGCCCCTGGTGAAATGCCTTGTTTTTCAGTCTGAAATGAACACTCTGTACGCAGGAAGCAAGAGAGAAAAAACCCAAACTTCATTCTGCTTCTTCTCCCATTCCCATCTGAAAATCTCATCCACTCTATTAATGTTAATCATTGGCAAAAATCGCTTGTGTTTTTGGTTTGGTGTGTGTTTGGTCATTCAAGTTGGGGTTTTATTATAGGTGGGTAGGGTGATTATGGGTGTTCTGTTTCTGGGTATATTGTGGGTGGATTGAAGGTGGGTTTGCTCTGTCTGGGCATGGTTTAGGGGGAACTGATGAGAAAGATGAAGGTTGCTGTGATTAGAAACCCTTACTGCGAAATAGGAAAATATGTTGTCAATAGAGCCGCGACAGTTGTCAATATAGCTCCTTGACTTGTCAATAATAACAGCATTGTACAGATTTACATTAACTGATTTTTTAAATTTTTTACACAAAGGCCATGACCTTCTGTACCTTGACTCATTGGTAGAGGTCACAAAAAGAGGAAGAAGAGGCAACAAAGAAGGGTGAGTAGTTACATGAGGCAAAACAAAAAAAAAAAGCCACTTTGATCCTAGACAAATGATGGCAAAAGAATTTTTTCATAAATAGAAGTGACATAAATTTTTTGGTAGATGTCACAACACACACAAATAATTAGTTTAATACTGGATACATGCAACTATTTGCTTTTTTAATGGGGTTATAAAATCAGTGTAATTACCTGTATATGAAGTTGTAAATGAAAGTTAGCTGTGTATTACATTCTGATGCATAGTTTGTTGTCATTATCCACACTCTTCATTGTCAATACATGCTTCGTCACTTGTCACTCACTGCACCATCAGTTGTCAATTAATGTACTGATATAAATTTTAAAAAAAAATATGATTTTGATTATATAATGTTATACAACGTCATACAATATCACTAATTCCTCAAAACTAATATATTTTTTATAATATGATATAGAATAGCTATTAAAAGTCAATAATCACTGATATGAAATCATAAAATCACTTGTCATAAACAACATATTCACTTGTTAATGGTTTTCAGTGTGTAACATCTTAAATTTTACTCCAAGTATTTAAATATTTAAAAATTAGAAGAAAAAAATAAAAGGGTCCCAAACTGTTATTTTCTCCATTTACCTAGGGTCTTTAACTTCAGTTTACCCCGAGTGTTTTCTTTTTACCTTCCCCCGTCTTTCTTTTCTCTTCTTCTTCTCTCTCTCCGCGTTCTGGCTTCTGGCGTCGCTCTCTTCCTCCCGTTTCTTTCTCCATCATTACAGATCATTTTGGTAAATAAAATTACTTCTAATTACAAAACTTCCTTCATGAAAGTTGTTCTACTCAGTCAGATCTACCTAACAATAGTAATTTTGTGTTGCTTAGAGGAAATTTTTGGTATAGAGTTTGGAGAAAGTATTTAGTTTTGATGAATGTTAACCATAGTATTGTAGATCTATTACAGTAGATCATTTCTACCGGTTTAGATTTGTTATTTGTTAATTTTAGTATTTAAAAATTTATTTTTAATAAAAAAATGTTATTTATGAGATATATTATATTTATACGATTAAAATTAAGTTAAATAATTTATTTGAGTTGTTTGATATGTTATTGAGACTTTAATCGGTTTAGTTTTGTTTATTGGGTGACTGGAGGTTTTAAAATAATTATTGTAGTTAAAGTTCATTATTTATGAAAATATATATATGCCATTAAAATTTTGATTAGATTATTTATATATATAAATATTTGAGACACTATTGAATTTTTGATGGTTCGGTTTTGAGGTTTAAATTTCAAATGAGATTTTTAGAATTTAGAATATACTAATTTCATATTTAGAAATTTTAGAAAATTCTTTTTATTAAAGTAAATAAGTTGAGGGATGTAAATAAATAATTTGGCTTGTTAGAAAATTACCAATTAGTTCTAAAGTACTTAATTTTGGATTATAAGAGTTGTGAGAATTTAGAATGATAATTAAATTAAATTAGGAATTTAACTAATATATATAAGCTTAATTAATTAGCTTATATTAATTTGTGGTTATATTAATGGTGTAGATTGATTATTGGATTGTCGGTTTGAGCACGGGGTTGACTTTGTAGTAATTCTTTTTATAGCCTTGGTGAAAGGTAACCACTTTCCACTTGTTATGTATGCTTGTATGATGTTTGTGAGTGATTTCGAATTATATGAGATTCTTGAAATGCCATTGAATTATTATTTGAGCAATGAAAGGCATCATTGTTGAAATTGCCTTGAGATACTTTATGTTATTGAAAAATAGTATGAAATTATGAATTTATAATTTGTCATGTGGAACAAGAATTTATTGAGAAATGGTTTGAGGACTGATGTTGATTATTGAAATTTCGAAATCTCGATTTTGGTAAATGTGAAAGTTATTATGTTATTGGTAAATGATTATTCTCATGAGTATAAATACGAGAGGGGACGGTGAACGTTGATTTGTGGGAGACATGTTATAGGGAGAATAAGGGGGTGAATTTTTGTACATATTATAGAGGTAATAAGGTGGGAGGACGCCAGATGTACACTGGTTGATCCTTTGGCCCTATCATGTGTTGTAGGGCGTATGACACTCCGCTAGTGGACTAGAGGGGGAACCCATGGTCTGATCTTGTGCTCTGTGGATTTTGGCCTATTCACATCACTTGATCAGTGAGCTTATTATGTTGAACTACCAGTCACATGGGACAGTACTAGCCCATGGGTTCAGTCAGAGGAAATAAGGTGTGAGGAAATAAGGTGGAATTGAGAGTAAGACATTGCATTTTGATATGTATATGTATATATATATAACCATGTGACAATTGTGAATGTTATGATTTTAGTAACTGTTCCACTTGACACCTCTCAAGCACTTACTTGTATGCTTATTGAGTAGGATTGTTGGTTACTGAGGCTTTTGTCTCACCCCGTGGTTTAACATTTTCAGATAATAGCTCTAGGGCTGGTCCGTCAGGGAAGGCAGCAAAGGCTTAGCTATCAAGTTTATCTTGTATAGCCTCCTTTTAGTCATGTGATGAGTATTGTATATTGCCACATATAGCTCTTTTTGCATACTCTGATTTAATCGAGACTTATGGTCTTAGTTACTTTTGTTGCTGGGTTGCT